GGGGGGGGGAGCTCTGCTTCCCCCACCACAGAGAGGGCGCTCCGCCGTCCACTGGCGGAGCGGGCGCTGGGGAGGTACCGGTTGTGTTCGCAAGAGATCCCGGTGCCTCCCCGCAGAGCGCCGAGCCCGGCCATCGTGAGGTTTTAGTGGGTATTCCCCCTGGGCTTCGCCCTATTGGGGGTGAGTCCCACACTACCTCCGCCCACTCCTCCCACATTGGGGGGAGGGAGGGGGTGTGCGTAAATGCATTTCCTCACGTAAAAAAAAAAGGTTTTCAAGCCGAACTCCCGCGTTGTTGCTATTTTTACCTTCAGCACGACAAGTACTAGACTCGGCTCAGCCGGCTCAGCCGACTCGGCTGTGCTACGTAGTACTATATAGAGTCGGCTGTGTCGTAGGAGAATCCTCCACCAACAGCCCCATTAGAAAGAGAGGAAAGTCACTCCAGTTATTGTCCTTTCTTTCAGTGCCGACTTTATCTCGCAGTCTATTATATATGTCCATGTTTTAACAGATTTAAAATTGAATCAGAAACGTGTGAGTTCAATTGAAAGAACAATGCGAGTTTCGATCAACGAAATTTGTAAGTTCGCACGTGCAACACCCCAATGAAAAAACTTTATTGGTCGTGAAAATATAATTAATCGTGGTCACCGCTGTTAAATTGGAGAATATTAAATGAAGATGACAATAATAACACTATTGAAATCATTGCGTTTTGTCTTCAGACCTCAAATTTAAAAGATGATCCATATGAAATTAGTGGTGAAATATTTTTAATAAATAATTTAAAGATATCTTAAAGGCTAGACGAATTATTGTTTACTTATAACTTAGGTAAATTTGCGACACGACTTCCTAAAGTCATAAATTTTATGTGCAACTCTATTTCTGATTACAATAGTAATTACTTGATAAGATAAAATTGTCTTTTGTAAAGTGCAATGAACATACTACTACGCATGGCTTGAAGCGGTCAATAATTTCTATTTCATTTAATTTATTTTTTAATATCACCAAATTTACTTTCTGCCGGAGAAAACGATAAAAGCGATAGTATTATTTTTAGATGCATGACTGTACGACTGTCGTACACACAGCAATATACTTTACTTTCATTTTTCTAGGAATAAATTCCGTGTACATTTTTATAACTGTGTAAATAACTATGACTGTTATTATACCGATTAATTTAAAAGCATTAAATAATACAACAACAAATATAAAAACACTGGTTTAAGTATAAAACAGTAGTTTCATTTTCTGTCACTAGTTGGCGTATCGAAATTCTGACTTTCCCAATATTACATGAAACAATGTTTTAATTTCTAATGTTAAATAATTCTTCATCATTTTACTTCGCATATAAGCATTTTACGCATATAAGTATTTTAATGAAACAAAATCTATAGTAAGATATAAATTATAATTTACGACATATTTCAATAAAATTCCAGTCGTTCTTCGTATATGTAAACTTGTAAAACATAATCACTTTAATAAAAAAAAAAGTCTAAAGCGTGGGATAGTATACCAAATAATTTATTTTAGTTTCTATCTTAAATTGATTTTCTGTATGCTAGTTATAATACATGTTTAGATGGATCTACAATTGGTGGTTGCTTATTTAACGTTTCAATTCGAGCTTTTTTTCCATTTACTATTGCTTTTATATCGTCAGCGTCTAAAGTTTCATATTTAAGTAGAGCATCTGCTATTTGTTTGTGCTCTTTTGCATGAGCTTTCAATATTGTTTTTGCGCGATCATACGATTCCTTAAAAAAAATTATGAAATTTAATACTGAAAACTTTCAGAAAAATATATAAATATATTGTATAATGAAGAATATTTACTTGTAGAAGACGTTTCACTTCAATGTCAATAAGTTCATTGGTACTAGGACCATACTCAGACTTTGTCTCTAAGTATTTATTCCGCTGCGCATGTGCCCGAAATCCAACTTTTTCTGACATACCATAGCTTTTTACCATCTCTTCAGCAACTACGGTTGCTTGCTGCAAAAGATAAACTGTTACTACTTATGTTACAGATTTTATAATAATTAGCATGACGCATAAACCTATGTGTTAATTTTGAGATACGTTACACGTCATAACAAAATTATAAAAAGCTTTACTCAATTAGTTTGTTCCTATTCCCATCATTAGCAAATCATGATCTATTTATAATTTTACCCATCTATTATACATACTATTAAATCTGTATATTAACTATTTAAGCGACCCATAGACGATACGAGTTGTCGTACGACTGATCATACAACATACATCGCTTCGAACAGAACAAACTAATTAAATGACTTACTTACATTATAAGTTAATTAATCACAAGATACTTAAAATCTGTGAATTGTAGGTTACTAAAGCTTTTTTGTGGAAACAAAAATGTATTAGGAACATATTTGTTCTTAATATTTAAGTGTTGTATACGTTTCATAAATGTATTATATTTTAGATGTAAATGAAAAATGTAAAAATACTTCTAAATCATTAGCTGCTCCAGTTGTTACTTTGTCTGGGCCAAAAATTAATTCCTCTGCAGCACGACCACCCATCATTGAGTCCATCGTAGCCAATAATTGCGATTTCGTTACGTGATATGTGTCTTTATCCGGTAAAAATGACGTCTAAAAAAAATATTTAGATTGTTTTTTTAATATATGTAAGAAAATAATATTGCAAATACAGTGGCAGTCATATACTTACGTACAAATTGAATGATAATTTTTAAACTACCTGCATTCTGTTGGAAAGTTCATAAAGGTATGAAAATCATGTTTTTATAAAATTTGAACCTTCTTTTATTAAATACCACTAAAATTTTTATTTATTTCTAAAATTCAACAAATTTGTAAATATTTTATGTTTAACAGTAGTTTGCTGAACGGACAATTACTTACGTACCAATGAAATATTGATATATTCCTGTATCACATGTTAACTTACAAATGTTAATACTTAATATCTCGGAGCTAGTCCTTTTTGCCGTAACACAGCTGCATATCTCCGTATCATGGAATCAATTAATCTGATACAACTATCCACGGGCATTGACTTCCATTTTTCTTCAACTAAAGTGTGCAATTCTTCTAAATTTTTCGGTTTTCATTGTTGCATGTATTTCTCCACATCAATCCACAACATCTCGATGGGGTTGAGGTCGGGAGATTGTGCCAGCCATTTTAAACAATTAATATTTTGATAAAATAAAAACGTTTTCACGACACGTGCTGTATGTTTCGGTTCGTTATCTACTTGATAAATCCAATCATTTGTCAGGAATCTTTCTGTATATAGTAGGAATACCTCTTTTACTATATTTAAATAAACATAATGGCCCATGATTCCCTGTATTCGATGAATGGGACCCACACCATTCATGGATATTGCGCCCCAAACAAGTACTGACCTACCACCTTCGTTGATCGTTGATATTGTACAATTTTTTCGGTATTCCTCTCCGATACGACGCCTAACATAAGTTTGCCATCGGACTGAATCTGTTAAATTTCGATTCGTCTGTGAAAATTACATTGGACCACTGCCCCCGTGTCTAATTCAAGTGCTCCTTCGCCAAACCAATTCTGGCTCGACGGTTTTTTTTCTGAAGTAAAGGGCTTCTTTCTTGCAACTCTTCTTTTTAATCCAAATTCATTCAATCCACGTCGGACTGTTCCCACGCTAATATTTCTGTCATGATTTGGCATTATTTCTTTATGAATGTCAACGGTTGTCTTAAATCTGTTCCCTTCGGATGAGCGATGAATAATCCGATCGATTCTAGCGTCCGTTTTTCGTGTTCTAATTTTCCGAGAAATATCATCTACGGTTCCATGACGCTTAATATGTTGCAATGCTTGTCAACAAGCCATTGCACATATTCCTAGCTCTGTAGCTATCTCACAGAATGTTTTCCCAGCATTACGAAGAGATTCTACTTAACGTCATTGCTCTGGTGTCACTTTCTTTCCTCTACTTATAGTAATCACTTACAGTACACTTCTTACTAATTCAACAGTACGACAGACACTGACGAAAGTTGTTTACACCGTTGATATTTCGACTTACGCCGCTACTACCACAGTATGTAAGTAATTGTCCGCCCTAAAATCGGTAGCTTACAAGTATGTAAACATAAATCACCTTGAATTCTGGGAATGAAAAAAACTTTACTGAGACTTTATAACAGAAGGTTCAAAGACTTTAAAAACATATATCAAATATTTTTGCATATTTCACAGAAAGCCATGTGCCATTTCAAAATTAATATTTGATTTGTACGTAAGTATATGGTCGCCACTGTACATCAATGGAAATATGAAATTTTAATTTTAATAATGTTAATGAAACGTATTACTATCTTTCAATATTTACATATCCCAGAGAAAGTCCATGAGGTATAATAGTAACTTTATGTATTGGGGCAGCGTCTTTAGTATAATATGAAACTAATGCATGTCCTGCTTCATGGTAGGCTGTAATAATATTGCCTTCCTCGTCAAACGATCTTACTCTTCCTTCTGGACCCATTATTACTTTATCTCTAGCATATTCCAAATGTTGCATAGTTACAAAATCCGCGTTCTTTATAGCTGCTCTTAAGGCTGCTTGATTTACCTTTTAAAATTAAATAAATAACAAATAGTATTGATTGGAATGAGATCAATTATATTAGAAATATGTAAAAAATAAATACCATATTCTCTATATCAGCACCAGTAAATCCAGTAGTACATCGAGCTAAATAATCTACATCGATATCTCGCGTTAATATCCTTGATAAGTATAAATCTAAAATTTCTTTCCTACCAAGAACATCTGGTTTATTTACATAAATTTGAAGGTCAAAACGACCAGGTCGTAACAGTGCTTTATCCAAATCATCTCGTCTGTTAGTTGCACCGAGTACTATAACGCCTTCGTTCTGTAAAAATCTGCAATAAAACAAGGGAAATTAAATAATCAGTAAGTAATTAACAGTTACAATTAGAATCAACATTTATAAATTATACATAATTACTATAATTATAGTTTAAAATGTTAAAACTGAGGCAAAACACAGTTTCTAAGTAAAAATGAAATGAAATTTATATGTAGATAAAAGACTAGAATAGTTTTGTGGTGATTCCTTTTCAAATGTACAGTCTGGTTCGAATTAGCACGAATAATTAAACCCATATATATAGATGTGTGAACAGAGACAGCCCTGCCACTTTTTTATTATACTTCGCCTGGGAGATCCTTTCTGATTCATGATTCAACATTGTTTCTGCATGCAAATGGAAACTTATAATGAATAAAACATATTAATCAGTCTCTGCTCTAGGATCAACAATTTTTTTTTAAAATTGAATTGTTTATTCTGTTACATTCAAATATTCTCTCATGACTTTGTAACCCCTTTATAGTGTTAGACCGTCAGTGTTTTAGACTACATCACTATTTCATAATCCAATCAGAATGCACACAGTGAAATGACATTAGAGTTTTCCGAATAATTTACTCCCCGCAAAATTCTAAAATTTCCGTACTATGTACTAAGATTCTCGATTTTCGAACATAAAAGGAACAACGACGACGAGCAACCCGGTTCATTTCGGATAAAGAATGAAAAACTACATGATCAGATTCTAGTCCCTATAGAGAATTTTTAAGTATACAATTCGATTAGACATCGTTCAAAGATATCCAAACTGTGATACCGTAAATTAATATTAACACTTGGAAGACAAACGTTTTTGATGATCATCTTTTGATGTGTTTTGAAACAAATTTCTTTAGAATATACTGGTCTTCTTATAAAACGTTAAAATAAACAACTATACGTTATAGTTAGTTTCCGCAAGCTAGTGTGTGAAGTTTCCGAAATCCTGGGTCAGAATGGACCCAGACACCGTCGTCGAAGGGTTAAAAACACAATTTTTCATCTCTCTATTTGTACGCTCACTTTTGTGATGACGAAATGTTTATACCTTTTCATTTTTGTTGTTGTTCGTGTTTTTATCAGATGATTAATTATTTACTGAGAATGCATACATTACCGTATGACAGACTTGATTAACAAGATTTGAAAACTTTTTGTCTTTTGTTTCTTGAACTAATAAGGTTTCTATATTATCTATACGCTCCATTTGGTAGTGGCTGTATATACTTCGTCCAAAACATCAACTGACTCATGTTGTATCATCAAAAAATTGTCAGCAATTGATTCGTCATACTTTTATATTTAAATTGTGAAACACAGTGAAATTTATTTTTTCCTAACAGTAAGCATTTACCAAAAAACTACAATTTTCCTTATGATTAACAATGTCACTACGAAAATCAAATATAGCATGTGTACCAAATCAGATGATTATGTAGTATGCGGATACATCGGATAAAGTAGATCTGTCACATTTCCTGAATTTCACAAAAACTGTTGCCCAACTATGCACGAATTTTCTCAACATAGACAAAGCCCTTGTAGTTAACTTACATTCATTTTTAAAAATTCCATTTTCGCTGGCAAATAACTTATCGCACGTGTTTATACCGTTACCTGTAGTAGCAGACTCTGTACGCAGATCGAGTGAAGGTTTCTCGCATGTGAAAAACGAAACTTGCAATTGATATTTGCAGGACATTAGATCTGATGAATTTCCACTAATGCGAACCACACTGTAATTGTTTTATCTAAAAGTCATATCACGACCTGATTTTCGGCCCATCCTCTATACTTTTTAAAAAGAAAAACAACTAAATTTTTCATACTGGTGCAATTAAAGAAAAAATTGCAATCCAAAAAGATAGATATTAATTTTTCTCTACTTATTCTTTCAATCTTCATTCAAGAAAGTGTTGCAAATAGAAGCTACAATCTAAAATTATCTAGCAATTTTTGTAACAATTAGAGATAAATATTTATACATTACCCATCCATCTCCGATAGCAACTGATTTATCGTTTGATTTGCATATGGATGAAGAACTGAATTTGTTCGTCTTGCACCAACAGAGTCAATTTCATCAATAAATATTACAGCAGGTGCTCTTTCTTTTGCTGTCTCTGAAAAAAAAAATAATTAACTGCATATAAACTAATGTATATTTTTAATAAAGGTCTAGGTTACTTTATTATGAAATAATGTAATAACTTTTAGTGTATATACAAATGTCAATTGTTTGTCTTATATTGTAAGTGAATAAAGAAAAATATTTTACTATAAATTATCTTATTGTGTATTGTATAGTAATTGTATTATTCCTGAAAGTTATCTTTAAAATGTAAATTTATTATTAATATAAAACAAGGTCTCATATTGGTAATGATAGTTTATAATAAAATTTGTTAGGTAGAAATGCAATCAAGGTCTTGTGTGCTCAATTAGTAATTACGTTTTTACATAAAATGGAACTTTTACTGACATATTCCCAAAAGTAATGCTACTGATGAAGAAATTATATTTAAAATTTTCTACCAAAATGATTGTGTTCATATTATTAATTGCACCATGTTCTTAACAGTAGTTTCGTATGTAGTAGTACTTTTGTATACAAAAATGTTTAAACATATCTATTGAAATGGTAACTTGTTTCAATATAATGCATCATTAATTTAAAGTTAAAATGTACTAAACATAATATAACATAAATAAGTGTACTCAACTTACTAAATAAATCTCTCACTCTGCGTGCTCCTTGTCCCACTAAAACTTCATCAAATTCTGATCCAGATGCATGGAAAAATGGTACACCAGCTTCACCAGCTACTGCCCGAGCTAACAATGTTTTTCCTGTTCCTGGTGGTCCTACTAATAATACACCTTTAGGTAATTTTCCACCAAGTGCAGAGAACTTTTCGGGACTCCTCAAAAATTCAACCACATCTTTCAATTCCTGTTTAGCTTCTGGGACCTAATCATACACAAATAAAAAGATACAAACTGTCTTCTGTAATGCAATCTGAAGCTAATACGTTAATTTCAGCTATAATACTTACTCCCTTTACATCATTGAGAGTCACACTAATTGCTTCTGGATCAATTTCAGATCTTCGACCAATCGTGAACCGAAATACACCTCCTTGGGAAGCAACTATAACACCAAAAGTAAACTATCTTTCATCAAATACTAATAGAAATACTTCACTCATGTATAATTTCATAGAAATTAGTCATTAGTCCAAGCCGGCAATACAAATAAGGAAAATTAAACATAAATTTTATTATATGAAGATAAGGACTATGAAAAGGATGTTTTCCACCATTAAGAATAAATGAAAACAAACATATTGCTATGCTATGACAATTAAACTTTACACACGGTAAAAATATGTAGTATAATATTTTAGAGCAAGTATGAGGTGGAATTACTAAATAGAACTGTTAAACAAGAATGAAATCTTTCCAAAGCATTAAATCTACATACCTGAGATCAAAACTATTACTGTGACGAAAAATCCAAAAATTAAAGTAGATACTGCCCTTGACCATATAGAACGTACACGTGTTTGGCGTTGAAGTCCTGCTTCATATCCTTCTATGAAAGCTGATTTGAGTTTGCCCTGCTCCTCTGCCGATACATTGCTATTACGAAATATAAGTTTTATTTTCTCTAAATCTGGTTCCCTGTGGTCATGTGAACTCTATAGAATAAAAGATTTATTTTTATATAACAAATTCACAATAAGTATGTAAATTGCCTTATGTCTGCCTAATTGGCACAAAAATATAAATTATCATTAACACATTGGCGCCTGTTGCGGATCTGTGTCACAGGTAATGGTTTAAATAATAGAGAAAAAAAATCGGGCGCCAACGTATTAATAGATACATGTTAAATAAAATATTACCTTACCTGTTCTGTATCACTAAAATATTTTTTGAATTTGCTTATGAACGTTGGTTTTTTTAATTCTACATTTATGCTATGTTTCGTTTTAAAACTACGAATTTGTACATGATTAGTAAATGGATTTTTTATACAAAGAGCACACAATGTTCTATAATTCCATTTTGATGGTAAGTATATAATCGGTACATGAAGTGGTTCTGTAAATTGTGCAGAGGGAAACCCATGTTTGTTTTCTGTAAAAGTTGATCCTGATACATAAGATACTTTCCACTTATTATTTTTTTCTAAATTTCTCTTAGAAATTTTTGTGGAAATTTGATCTAACGTTATACAAACATTATTCTTTTTTATACCGAGTGTTGTAATTCCAGTATGCAAGTTTAATTTGCCTATTAACATGTCCATGTGACTTTTTTCTATCTAAAATAAAATACAGATATAATGAATTATTATCAAAAGTGTGTAAAGTAAGATATTAAATTACATAATGACATTTTCTTACTTTTGGCACGCTGTCATATGAAGTGTCATCCACAGCTTTTTTAAACTCATTTTGTTTTTTACCTTTAACTTGAAATGGTTTAGTTTTCGGATTAACTGCTGAAGTTAACTGTGTCAGGTGATACAACACCTAAAAATATGTAATGTTAATTATAATTGTTTATTCATGAACAAACCAACTTGCTTTACATTATTTTAAAAGATAAACGAAAAATGTGTAGGTTCAAATGTACACTACAGTGGAAAAAATTAAGTTTCACCATATTGATAACATGAAATACTAAAAGATTTCATAATTTCATAACAAAGTGATATAAGGTTATGTTATAAATTTGTATAAGAATATAACTAAAAATATTGAATTCGGAGATTTGAAATAAAGATTAAAAACATCTGATATAATTATATGGGAAATTGTTGACGAACATTTTGAAAAACTTGCGATTACAGATACCATAATAAACTGATAATACGAACCTGATTATGAGATTGAAAAGAAAACATTGAAAACCAATTCCTATGACCGACGTAACGAATTAAATAGAAATCACTTCTTAAATAACAGTAAATTCAATTTCTTGTAGATTTGATTGTGTCCAAAAGGATTAAATTACATGACATTAATATAAGTTGGAAGAAACAGTTTTGATGTAGCAAGGTAACGGAAATACTACACTCTATATAAACTTCCGAATATTTAAAATCAATTCAGACACGATATTGTTTGAGTAGGATCTGATTTTGAAATTTCTTCGTATAACACATTTTACTTTTAAACTCGAGATTTCACTGGGCATGTAAAAACTTATTTTATTTTATAGTTGGATTCTTAAATTAGTAATCACATTTCAAGGCAACTGGTTTATGACTTCTACGCGTACTTCATTTATTTTAAGATCAAATGTAATTATGTAATTTTTATTATAATTATATGTATTATAATACATACACAATTGATATCGTATTTTGATTATGAAATAAATCTTCAAAAATACATTTATGTTCACATTCTACTAATAAAATTTCGTTTTACAGTTTATTTTACGATATGCATATATGTAGGTGCTAAATTAAATCTGTAAATAAGAAAATGAAACAAAAAATCATTTTCACGTCAAATATATATGAATCGATAGATGAAATTAAATTGTAATATTTAAAATAGTGAATTTAACTAGTAACATATATTCATTATCAAATGCATAAAATGCAATTACAAAACATGAATATATTTTTATTCTTGAAGTATACAATTTACAAAATAGAAGTTCATTGTGACTATGGGTGATTCATAAATGGATGTCAATACTTCAGGGGGTAAACTTACACTGACTTACACACTGATGTAAATAAAAAACATCATATGAATATAGGTATGTCCCATATACCTTAGTTTTCGTATTATGGATGCTTAAAGAAAAAGTTCGAACTGCCCGCCTCGTGCCTCCGCAAGTCAGCACATGGTAAAACTGGTAAATACGATAAATACTAGATATCCAATATGTATGTACCCTCCTCGCGTGCAAACTCGGCTTCCGCTAAGGGAAAAAGCGGCGTAGAAGAAAAGTCTTCTACCATGTGTTAAATTTATTCCAGGTAGTGAAATAAATGTTATATCCAATGTTAATTTGGCATGAATTTCAATAATTCCCAATACCAAGTGGTAGAAGACTTTTCTTCTACATCACTTTTTCCCCTAGCGGAAACCGAGTTTACACGTCAATGTACGTTTCCACTAGTGATGGCACCATCGACTGGAAACTATCGACTAAGTCGATAGTAGCCAACTGTAGCCAACTGTGTACTATTCAAACCACTGATTTTCTGAACTATCGACTAAATTCAGTTGACTGAAGTATATGGTCGCTTGACTCAGATCCATGGCTAGACTTGAATTATCGAGATATTGACTGGATCTTAATTATTTTCTTCGCGATGCAAACCAATTGTAATTTTCCCATATATTTTTTTATGCATTGTCTTTTAAACTAATCCTTTAAACTTTTCCGAAAAAATCAGATCGTTCCGTTCAATTTTAAAAAGGTCATTTAATTTTTTGGAGTGCACGAATTTATTCGTTCCTTTTTTACATTAATAAGAAATTTTAAGTAATAGTAAAACAAAAGAACCAACTAATAGGTATAAGTGGTATACCGTATTACATATCTCAGAATTCGGCTCTGTCACTTGATATATAGTAAACATCTAAAAATATGAACATTGTGAAAAGCATAGGGGTAGGCTAGTATTTCTAACGAAATATGAAAAGATTTATATATTTTATATTTTATTATTTATTATAAATAATATTAATACGTTTATCATTAATATTGATATTAGTAATATTATTGTATGAGGAAAGGATAAAAACGCAAATGAATAAGGCGTAACTATTTCTAATGTTGAATCAATATTTTAAAAAAAAATTCGATCTCGCCAGCTGATAAGAACGATTTTTCTGTCCAGAAAAGCCCCTTTCTTTTCTTCACCGTCTACTTTTCAAGAGTTTTAAGTAATTTATGACGGCCGTGGCATCACACCACTGATTTGTATTATAGAATATAGATGATCATGACGTGCAAAATCACTAACGGTGATTTATCACGGTCGTGATTTAACTTCATTCACGATCGTGATTGTGATTTTTTTATCTTGAGTGAATTTGCTCACTGCAATCGTAATAAATCCTTGATCTTTAAATAGAAAAACGTATTCAATATGATTTTACAATGAATTACATTACTATTTGTGTTTTTAAAAATCAGTAGAAAAAAACAAGAAATTCTAAAAGAATGATTTGCTAAGTAACATGTAGATTATAATTTATAATCATTAATTTATTCATAATCCTTCATTGTTTATAATTATTCCTTCACTTTATACGTGTTCAGGATTGGCTGTGCCGCGGCATGACGTCATGCGCGCCGAAAAGCCAGCGTCGTCACGGCGAGCGCGTAGTACAGTCAGTACGTGTTTGCTGGTGGTTTCCTAATTTGCTATAACTGTTACCCTGATAACCAGTTGTGTACAAGTTTCGAGCAAATAACCAGCAATAAATGATAAAAGTTGTCTAAAAAACCATAGCCATCTGTTTCTGCATTTGACTTAGGTTTTGTAGACAACGCCAGCTAATAAAATGGTAAAGCAAATTGGCAGAAAGTCTTGCAATATGACCTATGTCAAATTGAGAGCAAAACCGGAACAAGTCTTGCGCAAACCAGTTTGCTGCATATGGTGTTGTCAATTTGCTGCCTATATTGCTGCCAATATTGCATCAAACTTAAGCCTTAACTTTATAACAGGCATTGGACAAAATTTGTCATTACAGGTTTAGCTGACTGGGTAGTTACTTTATCATCAAACCTGATAATAACACAATAGACAAATATAAAATGTAAATAAATATTTTAATTCTATAAAACGTTGTTGTTTCTATATACAGATTAGGAATTAGTTTAAGTACTATTAATTTCATACCTTTCACTTTTTAAAATATATCGGATTTATAAATCCCGGATTAGTTTTTAACCTTCTAATTCATTAATATGTTTAATTGAAATTCAAATTTTAATCGTTTACAAAGATAAATGCACAATCTAAATAACTACGTTCTAGAGAAAACTAAAACCAATCATAATACAATATATGAAAAACAGTATGCGATTGGCTGGTGTTCTTGACACTTTGACGTCTGCCTTTATCGTGGTGTTGGTCATATGATACTGTCATTCAGCGGAACAAGAAATTTGTAAATTATTATCAAATATTGTTCCTGTCAAAATTTGTTACGTGCCTTATATATGCACCAGTGAGTTAGAGTAACGTTGCCGAATATTAAAACAGTTTCGTATATCGTGCAACAATGTCATTTTTTGGAGTAAATGTCAGTCCATTTTCAACACTAGTAGGCCAGAAGATAGGTAAGTTAAGTATAGTTCTTATTTACTTTTGTAAAGTATATCATGCTGATCAGTTAAGTATAAATGAGTAATTAATTTACTAGTTCTACATTTATAAATTGTTGCTGGCATATCAATAAACGTAAATGTTTGTGCAGTATGAATTTCTTCCATCTACGTATATATGACTTTAGACACCTATGATGTCATAAATCATACCTTGTGAAATATTTTCTACAAAAGAAAACTATAATTGATTGTACACATAATTGTTACATTTTTATTCCAGAGCAAGCTACCGATGGTAGTTTGCCAAGTGAGAATTGGACACTTAACATAGAAATATGTGATATTATAAATGAAACAGAGGATGGGCCAAGAGATGCAATTAAAGCAATTAAGCGTAGGCTCAATCAAGCTGCAGGAAAAAATTATACTATAGTCATGTACACTCTTACCGTTAGTATTTAAATATATGGTAACATTTATATTTTAGACAATATATGTACAATGTGTGAAAATTACTTTATACTGTTAAATAATTGTTCAAGGTATTTATTATTTGATTTCATTAATTATCAAAATTACATTAAACACAGTGAAATTACATGAAACATAGCTTATCAATTGCATATTAATACATTTTTTTATGAATATTCATGATAATGTAAACATGAATTTACATGAAATAATATTGATGAATCTAGGTATTGGAAACATGCGTGAAAAATTGTGGGAAACGTTTTCATTCCCTTGCTTGTTCGCGAGACTTTGTACAAGAATTGTTTAAATTAATCGGGCCAAAAAATGAACCTCCCACGGCAGTACAAGAGAAGGTTTTAAGTTTGATTCAAACATGGGCAGAAACATTCCGCCATCAACCTCATACTCAAGGAGTTGTGCAAGTGTATCAAGAACTAAAAATAAAAGGCATACAGTTTCCAATGACAGATTTGGATGCCATGGCACCCATTATTACTCCAGAGAGAGTAAGATGATCATAATATAGTAAATATCACATGAAATAATAAATGATCTCTTACAATTCTTATGTAATTAATGTTACAGAGTGTACCTGAATCAGAGCAAAGTATTAATAATGTTTCCACAGTTGAACAGCAGACTGTAACCTCTTTAACGACACAAACTCCACAAGCTCAGATTCAACCATTGGGACAAGTAACTCAGTTGAACGAGCAACAGATGGCTAAATTACAAAGCGAACTTGATGTTGTACAGGGGAATATGCATGTTTTGTCAGAAATGTTAGCCTACTTTACAAGTTCAGATCAAAGTAATAGCCAACAACCAGATGCTGCAGACCTTGAACTTTTAACGGTATTTATATAATTAATATATTTTTTGATATACTGTTTGATCGATGATGAATGTTTACAAGGTATATTGAAACAATTCAATGTTATAGGAATTGCATGTAACATGTAAAGATATGCAAGCACGAGTTGTCGATTTAATTGGAAAGTTAGCACACGATGAAATGACAGCAGAATTATTGCGTATCAATGACGAATTAAATAATCTGTTTTTACGGTATTCGCGATATACAAAAAATAAAGCAGTGGCTGCAAGTACTATTTTAGCACAAACAATTGGTCAGCCACCAAATATGGATTCCATTACAACAGCTACTAAGCAAGAAGCTGATTCTCTTATAGACTTGTCTGATGAACCTGATGCTCTGGAAAAGCAGATGACAGGAATGGGTAAGTATCTATATTATATTTATAGTGACTCGAAGAATAATATTCAATTGTTTTGCATCGAACTATAGGCATATCTGAAAATAGTGATAAAAATAGAACAGAACGAAAGGAGAAGAAAGAAGGGGACAATGATGAATTTGATATGTTTGCACAGTCACGCACTGCCACGTACGAAACTACAAAGAACAGGTTTCTAGTATTAAATTCATTCTTGAATTTCATAACAATTTTGTGCATTATATTGCTAATTAATACTTATTATAGTGGTAGCAAATATGAGGATAATTTGGAGCAGGTGAGCGGAGGAAGCCTCAGTACAGCAATTCTCAATCGCAATAATCCTAAATATCCTCAGCAGAATGCTTCTACAGTTGCTTCTACTACTGCTACTTCTGTGCGTAATCCTTATCCTTACTATACTGATTATTGCAAAACATATAGCTATTATAAATATTTATTTTTCATTTATTTACAAAAAGAATGGTTACTACAAGCACTAAATATATCCCACAAATTTTGATTGAACTTTATTATTGCAATATTATATATTTTTAAATTATTCAGTTATGAATTTGTACAATGAGCTTTAAAATTATCTGCTGTAACAAGAGGTAAGAAACTGACTGATACCTATAATATTTATCTCATTCTTTTTAGTTCAGTAAATCTAATAAAAAGTTGTTGCTTTCTTTTGCTGCACAGCTTTTTAGAGCATGAAATGTTTTTTTTTCTTATGTTCCCTTATGCTTTATTTTTGCCTACATACGTACAGATGTTTATATATTTATTTTGTTTTGTTGAACATGTTCGTTTTTATTTTTTTTTCTTTGTTTTAATATTCAGCTGAACCGGGAATCTGAATTTAACGAAATGGCAGCCTGGTTAGATCATACGGTAAGTTGTGTAATAATAAAGTTACTTCCTTTTTGAAAGTATAATTCTCTTATTTTAATTACTTAAAACTTATATAATGCTATTGTACTGCCTTCAGATAATTTAAAAAAAATGTCTCGATTATTCCACATCGTGCCATGTATAATTTTAAAAGTATTTATTTTTATAGCCAGGAGCGCATGGTGATCAGGAATCTCTAACATCGTCCGAATTTGAACGCTTCTTAGCAGAAAGAGCAGCTGCAGCTGAAGCTCTACCAACTCTGCCGACGACTACTGCTACTACAGGAAATACAACTACTTCTGGCAACTCAAACATTCAACGTCAAATTAATAAAGATCAAGATAAATCTTTATTTGCTCTTTAAATGCTGCTTTAACGTTTAAGTTTCTTACAGAAGGTAGAAATTAATTTTGAAATGATTCAATAATCAGAGATCTCTTTCTGATAAATCAGTGTTTCTAATAACACTTTCGGTATTAGAAACATTGACAAAATGAATCTGGAATAAAAGGAAAGGTTAAAGAAAGGGAATGTGCTTTTTGCGCTTCTATGTACTTAAAAATGTAATTGATACTATGCAACCGTTGATTAGCATTTCTGTATGATGTAAAAATTGAATAAGAATAAGTAACTTATTTTACCATTTAGAAACGATCTTTACGTATAAACATTATGTAATATGGAAATAGAAACACTAATTTATGTTATATGTATATAAAGAACACATTGTATCCAAAATAACATTTATATTGCGATGTGTTACATCTCATGCCTTGAAGTTACATGGAAACTATTAATTCATACAACTGCATTTTATAAATTTTGCAGATTCAAATGCAAAGGGGTGAAGATTTCATTAAATAATTGACTTTAATCGAGCTATAAACGAAAGTATTTTTCTATGTTAAATTAAACTGTCTCATTTATTTGATATTATGTATAAACATGGTATGTATTTACTATTGTAGTAATTTTTATTATTGATAAGAATATTTTATCATAGAGTAATATAAATTTATTATTACTAGTATTGTTATAATTATGTACTGGTATTACAAACAATTAATATATTCTGAAATTATAATATAGAGATATACCATTGATAATAAGTAATTTTATGTTTGTGATTTTAAAAGTACTGTTTTATGTCAGTAAAATATTCAACATCATAAACGAAATCAAGATTCTTTAAACAACTTATGTATGTGATAGAAAAAATCCAAAACAGCAATTGTAGAAAATTATGTTCCTATGTTTATTTTTACAAAATTATTAATTAAATTGTATCTGTTTAACTAATGAACATATTATTTTAAAATGAAATAGCAAAATATTTTTGCTAAAAATGTATTACTTTAAAAAATTGTACAAATCACCATAACATTGAGTTACATATATACTGAGTTTTATTACAGTAGAATGTACAAAAGAGGTCACTTTTTTTTTTATTTTTGTTACATTTCAGATACATATGTAAATCTAAACCTAAAGGAATGAAAATTTCCTTACTTGTGTAAACTAAATTGATGGTTCATATGTAATTAGTTTTAATGAATTTTGTAAGTAATAAATCTAAGGAATTATTGTTCCATTTTATATAATCATTTTATTACCATATTTTACTACAAGAATTGTGCTTAATTTACATCTTGATAAATTTCTTTGTACTTTTAAAATTACAAGTTTGTTAAATATGTTCATACGAGTGTTTATAAAATCATTATTTTATTTGTAATAAACCTTTCCTAATGTACCAATACAGTCACAATTGTTTATTCTGAAAACTCTAATCTTATACTTAACTTTTTACCGTTCATAAATAAAAAATTATTATAAACGTAATGTTAAAAAATCTACAAATAATAAGGCTTTGTCATCACAGGGGTTAACATTTGTTTGAATTATTATTTTATAGGATATATGTTTAATAATTCCGAAAATTATAAAATGCAAATATTTGTACGTTCTTTTAAAAAAAATTACAGATATTTATTTACTTAGTGTCTGTATCCTAATTATATTTTTGTAGCTTATATAAACTGTTCCGATACTCGCTAATAATGTTTATAGACAAAATAAATTTGAATAATTTTAAACAATTTTATACTTGAAGTATATTTAAATAAGTATATTCATGCTGAAGACGATAATCCACGATTAATTATTTCAGATACTTGCGGTATTTAAGTATGTACTTGCATTGGAATTTTTCAAATTGTGCACTGAATGCATGTGTGTATTATATACACACATGAATATAATTACATAGTGCCGAGCGATACCACGAGCTAAGGTCACGTGGTTCACCATCGTGTATTTCACGCTGATCATTTCAACCCGTGCTGACCCGTGCAGTTGATCCATTTAATAGTGTTTGGAGTTTTGCGTAAATTACTTGGTTTGGAACTAAGAATTTAAGATAATTCTCGGATGGTCTGTTATCTCAAATTGAGTAGACAGTCATTATTGTGCTCTTCTTACGTAGAACATGTATACTGTATCAAAAGGGCCTAGCAAAATTGTCGCAAAGACACGAAGAGGTACATGTATAAGGAATATTATTGTATTTTCTGTATGTTTCAAAGTGTAAACGATTGTGACATCAAGGTCAATTAACGTCATCATTTTTTAGGAATCAGTCAGAATCTTGAGAGGCTGGAAACTTTGCGCGATTTAACAAGAAAGGCAGATCCTGACGATGACCACGAGACCACCCGGTAAGTAATGCCCTAACCCATCTTATCCCTACTTCGTTATATTTCTCCATCTGTCTTTGTACTTTAAGCATTACGCAATTCATAATTCTTCATCAAAAACAATCACACTTAATCTCTATATTATATGTTTCGAAAAATATACATTATAACACATTCAGTTTAACACATAAATGTCATTTATTTTACTAGAGTTTATGTAACACAGCTTATATAGAATATCTCTTTCTGCTAATACATGTGGTCAAAAATTGAATTTACAGCCATGTGCCAAAGCCAGTCTTTCACATGAATGGAAAATCTAAACTCAATTCACATAGGCATCAAATGCAAGAAGTTATTACACCTCAACATGAAGAGCTTATTAAATTTGTTTATGAATGTAAGTTGAAAGAATTTTATGAATTAATATATTATTGTACATTATATGTATAATTTTATAATGTACGTTTTTATTTGGTAATCTAAAATAGAATGCAGTTTTGTGCAATCTGTTGTATATGTGCAGTATACATTGCATAACATCTAATCTTACATATATGTGTATATATATATATAAATATAATTGTATTCATTGTTTGATTTTTTAGCGTGGAATCAGGTGAATACAAGGCAAAGAAGTGAATCTTCTGATGGTTCAGATTGTTCAGAACCTTTCAGTAAGTTATCTTTAATATCACACAGAAAACTTCATACATTTAGTGATTTTTGTTACCTTATCTATGTAAATGATTGAACATATTATAAATTTCTTCTAGAATTGTTTTAAGTATTTATTAATTTATGCTTTTTATATTTCAGGCCCTAATTCTATAGTATATTATAATGATGGTGAACCAAATGACAGTCTTCAAGGTAACTTATACTTATTTATTTTAAACATATATAAATAAAAGTGATTAGAAATCAATATTATTTTTAAAAAATATTTATTGTCTCTTTTGCTTTTCACTAAATATATTTATTTCAATATTATACAAAGTTATTCATTTAATTCAATTATAATATTTTAGACTTTAAACCGTTTGATTTGGAATCTTGGTGGGGCAAACGATTATTTAACAACATTACAAAGTCACTTTGAGAAAAAAGGAAACTTCTAAAGATAAATCTTGAAGTAGTACAGAATGGAGAACAGTGCTGAGGATTAGTCTATCTCAAGTTTTAAATGCAAGTTAAGAATCACTGAATTGTTGCATAGTGCTGAATTGAAAGTGTAGAGATGAACTTGGTTTGCTAGTTACCACAGAATCGTAATTGGTGAACCTACAGTCTCATATAATACATAATGTGTATGTTGCAATGAATTATACACTTTTTCACGAAACTATATATGAACTTTTTTGCGTATGTGTGGCATCAATCTCATTTAATCATTGGTAATTTTCTATGAATTCATGTAAATACGTATATATGTGTGGTAAGCATTCGCATTAAAAATAATTTGCATCAGTCTGATATGCATTTCCATTACCAATTATACAAAGTACATGATGCAACATCACATACAAATTAGACACTTGGTAAATTATTTCATATTTTTAAGGATGTTTCAACTTGAAAAAGCATAAAAGTGTACAGGACTTAAGTATAAAAAAGAACTGTGAAATGCCAATTAAAGAAATTTAATGAAATACGAAATGGGATTGCCAATTCCGTTATTAAAAACATTTATAAGTTTTTAAAATAATGAAGGTGAAAATATAGCTCCCAAATGCATACCAAATAGGGTTAAGTACATACAGTAATCCCTGCGTGGTACGAATGCAGTGTGAAAACAGTGGATTTTTAACCATAGAATGATGTACATATTAAACGCATTGTTTGTGTGAATGCATGATACATTGCTGATATTGTTATGACAATTGTGTCTAAATACTTCTATGTAAGCAATTGTTTAGTATAACTTTGTAGACTGATAATGTTTAAGATTGTCATACGAGTACCAGACAAGGTAAAACTTGTCCCTAATGTAACTGGAAACTTTGCTTTCAAAATTTTTGTTTCACACTGATCTGAAATAATCTCCTCTAAGTATATTGAATTGGTTTAGTTTTTATTCACACTTCACAAATTTGTTATTTAAGATCTAGGTGTGAAGCATAATTTAATTTTGAAAAGCACAGTTTGCAAAAGTAGTCGACATGTAGTGCAGTATTTGGCCATTTAAGGCTGAATCACACTGTTATAAATAAATACATGTTTATACACGTTACGATTTTCCTTTTAACCTTTCTAATCTCTTTATTATTTATCTATTTTCCAAAATTATTATATTTAAACATCATTTAGCTTTATACTTTTTCGATAAACTTTTCATTGTAATCTTTTGTTATTGCTTTATCTTAATATTTTGTACTTTGAAATATAAAATTTTAAATCTACCATCTATTTAATGTTTCCCTTCTCATTCTTCTTCTTTTCTTATTTTATCTATTTTTACTTATAATTATCAACTTCAAATTGTTCATTTCTTTAATACATATATGCCTACTATTAATTCAAATAGCTATATAATATACTTCTGTACAACATTTATACAGGGTGGAACAAAAATGTTGGATGACCCGAAAATGGGAGACTAATAATGGGCACCATCGACTAAGTCTAAGTCAATAGTAACCAATTACTACTTTCAGTCGACTAATTTTTTAAACTTAAACCATCGACTAATTCAGTTGACTGAAAAAGCCGCTTCAAGCAACTCGCTCGAACTATCGAGCTATATGACTGGATCTTAATTATTTTCTTCGCGATGTAAACCAATTGTAATTTTTCCATATATTTTCTTATGCATTATCTTGTAAACTAATCTTTTAAATTTCTCCGAAAAAGTCAGAACGTTAATTTAAAAAATTTCATTTAATCGTTTAGAGTACACGAATACTTTCGTTCCTCTTTTACATTAATCACAAATTTTAATGTAGTAAGAAAGAAGACGAACCAACTATTACGTATTATCTCAGAATTCGTCTCTGTCACTTGATAATATAAACATCTAAAAATCTAAACATTATTACGGAAAGCAGGGGTGGTCCAGTATTACTAACGAAAATAAAAGATTCGTTCTTTAATTCTTTTATGAAGATTTATATATTTTATATTTATTCTTTTTATATTTTATTGTTTATTATAAATAATATTAATACGTTTATTATTAATATTGATATATTAATATTAGTAATATTATTGTAAGAAACAACGATAAAAACGCAAATGAATAAGACGTAACTATTTCTAATGTTGAATCGATAATTTTAAAAAAAGGTTTCGACGCTCGCCAGCTGAGAAAACGATTCTTCTATCCGGAAAAGCTCCTTTCTTTTCATCGACGTTTGCTTTTCAAGTGTTTGAAGTAATTTATGTCGGTCGTGGCGTTTTACTATTCTTTCTAATCTCAATATGTGATCGCTCGTTGATATTTGCTGTAATTGTCTAACATTTTTTCAAGAGTTCATTAATATTGTATTACTATTAAGGCAAAAATAATAATTCATACATTTTAATTATGTTCATAAAATATTACTTACAAGTTATAGGAAAAATAGTACTTTATAATTACATCTATCAATATTTCATATTAATATTGGTAATATTATTTTAATAATATGTTGATACGTATATTATTTCTGTCAGAAGTTTATTAACACTTCGTATTTATATTGCATTACTATTAAAGAATAAATAATAATTTTTACATTGTGCTTATGTTAATAAATTAATTACATCCTATAAAAACAGTATTTTATAATTACATTTATCCTGTCCTATAGTATTGTACAGTACTGACAACGTTAAAATAATGATAAATTATTAACAATAAAAAAATTTCACGGACAAATAACATTAAACAATATTGAAATTAGATTTGACTACATAGGAACAAATAAAATTATATCAATAGCTACAACAATAGACCCTAGATTTGAAACAGCAATTTTTCAAAACAAAAGAAATGCACAAAGAGCAATAGAAACTTTAACATCAGAAGTTCAGACTTTATTAACCAATGTGCAAATTCATAAAAATAGACCTACAAATCCAGAAGAAGAAGAAACAGTTAATCAGGATACAAGATTTTGGAATTTTTATCTTGATAGTTTCCCATTTAACCAGGTAGTGCTCTACACCCTTAGAAAGTGCAACAAATATAACAAGGCAATACTTAAATCTGCCTTATGAAAATATAAAAAATGATCCTACTGCATTTTGGAATACACATGGCCACACAAGTCTGAACTACAAAAAATACATAAATGAAAAATATTTATGTGCACCCGCAACATTTGTTTCATCAGAATGGATATTTGTAAACCTGGACAAATTATGTCAGAGAGAAGAAACAAATTATCACCAAAAAATTTAAATTAACTCATTTTCTTAAATTTCAATATGGAATAACATAGGTCAAAATAGCAGATAATCGTATATTTTCTTAGATGAAATTCTTTTACTTTTGAATTCCTAATATAGCAATATTTATATCCATCCCAGGAGAAAGAAGAAATGACAACATCAACAACTATGGAATAAAATTTGGTATATGAAAAATTAAACAATACCATAATTTCAAATACCTGCTATTGTGGCAACACTTATTTAATTTTAAAGAATTTTTCTAAGAACTGCAAATTATTGCTTATAACCTAATTGATTTTCACAAAAAATTTAGGGCGGTTAATTTGTTAAGTGCCAATATTAAATAACTTACGAAAAATCGAATATTAGTAATTGTTTTAAAAAACTTGTTTACCACTTATGTTTTTGGAATTCTATCTATGAACTAATAAATTTCCAAAAAGTAAATACACCAATAATGCTAAAAATTTTGATGATATAACCTATACATAACCACTAAAGCAAAATTTCAGTCGACTAGAAACTATCGACTAAATAATCGATAGTATGTTGCAACTAAATAGTAATTAGTCGATAGTACCCATCACTAAAATATCGATAGTTTTCGATAACAGAAACCATCGATAATTATACACCTCTATATGTCACCCGGTGTAATTAGTAACTTACATACATATGACAAATTCTATCGCTCACGTTCACTAACTGTACATATACAGATGAGCACAGATGAGTGCAGTGCCCACGTTACAGAAAGCGCAAAAGGGAGGGAAATTCCCTATTCCCTCAGGGAATAGGTGGTTCGAGAGACCTCTCATGCTCGTTCCAGATGCGCGAAACAGATATAGTCTTATTTGGCATTTACTATATTTATATATAAGTAATTACGTTACTTTCTTATATACCCTTTGTAGGGCCCAAATATCATATATATACATACATACTTAAGACTTACATGAAATACATATTTTTACGAAATCGCACTTTCTGAAAGAACGATAGTTTTCTCTAAAAAAATGTCTGAAGTTACAATAGATAAAAGTCTTTTGGGAATGGCAGTAGTACACAATGGTTTAATTGTATTAGAAAGTTGTCAAGCAATTTTACGTAGAGATTATGTGAACATGAGAGGGAAGGTAAATATTTCATTATGCCTAAAGAAAATGCTTTTAATCACAAATTAATATGGTATAACAGGTCAAGTTAATATCTGGAGGCATAGCAGGAAATGAATTATTATGTACAGAATTTGTGGGTCCTGGTATGTTAACAGCTGCAGTTTTAGGGAATATTTTTTGTGCACCTTCAAAAAATAATGTACTGAGAGTTATTGAAGAAATTAAATCAGATGATCCTTCTGGTGATGAAACATTCTATTTATATAAACAAATTTTTATAAGACATTAATTATAATTTTTATGTATTAAAATGTTTATTTGCAGGAATATTGTTAATTGTACCTGATTATGCTGCATGCCTTATAAACTTTACTTGGGCTAAATTACGTGCAATGGAAAGAGGATATAATGTCAAAATATTTCGAGTAACAGCCAATCTTCAACCTGCTACACAGGAACAAAGCTTTTTATCTGCACAGTTTTTGTATAAAATAGCAGGAGCTATGTCAGAAGAAGGGAAAGATATAGATGAAATATATTCCGTTTGCAATCACATTACAAGTAATGGAATACTTCATCATCTAAAATCAGGTGCCATGATGTTCAGAAAATTGAAGCATGTTATAGAATGATTTGTATATAATTTATATATACTTTATAGAACATGGAAGCAAAATTCACAAAAAGGTGTGAAATGGAAATTTTTTCAGATTCAGCTGAACACATGTCTGAACTGTTGGCAAATACATTAAGTACAGTACCTCCAAATGAACATAACAAAAATTCGAGAAATACAAATAAAATTTATGATGATCATGAGATTGCAATTATGATAAACAGCTTTGGTATTGTGAATTCCGAATATTTTGATTTTAAATATTTATTAGTTACAATAACAATTTTAATTATGTCAGTTTTATTTGATATTTTTTTTTTTTTTATTCCATAGGTTTCAGAGAACTGGAGACATACACTTTTATTTTAGATATTTTAAAACAAATGAAAATGTACAGCTTGCAAGTGAAAAGAATATATGTAAAGCCATTAATATCAAGTTCAAATACTAAAAGTTTTGATATTTGTGTTTTAAACTTGTTAATTATACCAGGATTACTTAAATATTTAGACTTTCCTACTTCTGCACCTGCTTGGCCAAAGATATTAACTTCAGATATATTAGAATTAAAAGAGGTAATATAAATTTTATGAGATTAATTTGTATTATGTATTATATAAAATATTAAAGTTTGATCAACTTTCAGGACAGTGAAATAAATTTAAGTACACAAGGAAAATACTGCAAGGTAATTAAATCTTATTTATTGAATGATATTACTATAAAAAAGTAAATTGAATTTTACTATAGCATAAGAACATAGTTGATGAAAAATTGCAAGGACCACTAATGGGGTACGAAACTGGTCAAACATTTTTATCCATTATATCAATTGCATGTGAAGCAGTAATAGCATGTACGAAGCAATTAAATACATTAGATCAAGAATTTGGAAATGGAATGTATGGTACAAGCCTTGCTCGTGGAGCTCAAGCTATAAAAGATGCTATTCAGGTAATCAGTTAAAAGCCGATCACATAAAAACTGACACTACTATTAATAAAATAAATTTTTACAGGAAAATAAAATGTTAGCTACGTATCCATGTGTAACATTTACACAAATTAGTCATATCATTGAAAGAACAGTGGATGGTGTACAAGGAGGACTTTATTCTTTGTTTTTTAATAATATTGCTAAAGTAAGATATAAATTATTATGCTATAGACTATTATTTTAAGAATTTTATATCGTTTGTAGGTTTTCTCAAAATATGAGAATAATAAACAAATTACAGTAGACATGTGGTTAAATGCATTAATTACAGCAAATGATGCAATAAAAGAACTTCATATATCCTATCTAGATGACCAAGTTCTGGTAGCTGTTTTAATGAAAGTGCAGTTCAGTTTGATGAATGCATTAAATGAAAATGTAGATCCCATTGCTGCATTTGGTATTGCTGTGACAGCTGCTGAAAACTTTACATTAAATGCTATACATATGCGATCTTCTGATGCAAAAACTAATAAAGTATAGTATTTTATTTTTTTTTGTCACTTGTATTAATTTTACATGACAACTTTTAATTAAAAAGAATAATTTATTCACATAACAATGTAAATGATTTGTTAAAAATATATTACAGAAATTTAAATATCTCCATCCTGAAGCGCATGCAGTGGGCATTTGGTTAAGAGGTGCATATGAAGGTATCAAGTTAAAATTACTAAATCATATTGCAAAATAAGTTTTTGTAAAATTTTATATTTTCATAATTTATGTAAATGTTTTTAATAAAAATGCAGTAAAAATAATAATTTCGTTATGTGCATCGGTAAGAATGCTACATACAATTGAATGTGTTACAGTCTATGAGAAAAAAACTAACCGACATTTGAATTACGCTACGTGTTGCACCTTATAATGATCAATCCGTTGCACTGTACAGGATGATCCACGCAATTCGTTCACCCTACATAATTTCTAAAGTATGCACTGTATGAAAAAACTTTTCATAGAAAAATGATATGGTTTGGAGGGATAGCTTATGTAATGCATATATTTTTTTTTTAAGTGGAGGCGTTTCGGAGATTTAAATGTCAACTTCATTTTTTTAAACGAAATGTTATATTTTTTATGCCACAATATCAAAGGGCGTTAAATTTTTAGTAAAAAAGTCTGACCTTATTGCACTCCTACCCTCGCGAGCAAACTCTGCTTACACTAGGGGAAAAAGTGATGTAAGGGAAAGACCTCCTACCACTTGGTCTCAGAGTTATTAAAAATTATGCCAAATTAACATTCGGTTTAACATTTATTTCAGTATTTGAAATAAATTTATCAAGCAGTAGGAGGTTCTAACCCATAGACATATTATATAATAGACTGCGCGGTCTTATGGCAGAGATGAGCGTGAGCGGGACGAGGTTGGCAGTAGAGTGAGAGGATAATCCATGGAGCACTAGATAATCTGTATATACAGAGAAGAGCCCTTCCCTTAAAGGCTTAAACATCTATAGGGGAGGGCAATGGGCGGGGCTGACCGCGGTCATGCCGAGCGTTCCCGTTGCCAACCCTAGGCCCGAGGGTCACCGGTGGGTTTTTAGTGGGTGAAACTTACAAAAAACGCGGATATACGGCCCCTATCAACCGGTGATAAATTAGGGGCCATCACGAAACTCTAAACACACGACGCACATGATATTAAACAATTGCTTTGTACTGAAGAGCAAGGAAGAATGATCTGTCCTAATAGAATGCTGGCACCTGAGCTGTGGTAGACTTCATTTGTTTTTGGAGGTAGCGTATCACTCCGCCGAGACGCGAGGGATAAGCAAGGATGGTGCCAGGGAGCATTGAAATAAAAGAAGAATAGGCTCAACTTTTAGTTTAAAGAATGACCGAATTGGATAACACCAGTTTTCAAGTTTAAACGAGAAAGTTAAAAGTTCCCATCGAGTCGACGTAATAAAATCACTTTTTATAATTTACGGGACAGTTGTCAAAACCGTACCTCTTGATACTTTACGTCATGTTTCCAACATGACACTGATTTGATTGCAACATAATATTAGATATTCCAGCTCCGACTTTAAGGTATCTACTATTTTTTCGTAAACTATTCTCCAGAAAGATTAATTTGTTATAAAGCTCTTTTATAGGATCAAGTAAAATGCACAGCTAAAGCAACGGTTCTCCAAATAACAGAAATCGTTATTAAAACCATAATTGTGAAGAATGGTTTATTACTTCCGAAATAATCAACAACTAATGATAACAATTAAAACATGATACTGTATAAAGGGTTCAAAGATTTATCCGACCATCTCACATATTCTACAATTCTCGCAGTTCCATTAACCTGAAATGTATTTTGGGGTACTGATGAATATACTAACCAGTTTAGGAGAAGAAATTAATTTTTAATCTGTAAATTATGTATTAGATCAATGAATAATTCGGTATACGGTTCATGTGGTATCCCATTTACCGTAATCTGTGTCCTGCCGACCGAAAACAGGAACCCTTGAAACATCGTCAAGACGAGGATGCGCTGTAAAAAAGGACAACCGCAAGTGCGAAAAGGACAGACTTATGCGACGGTTTCCACGCAGTCGAGCAGAGTCGGCTTCCCTACGTTGCTATTATAGTAGGGAGATTGTTTCGCCAATCGTTCAATGGGCGACGATGGCGCCACTGAACAATGGCCGATACACGCTGGCTGTTGACAGACTGCTGACCAGTTGTGTTTATTACTCATTTCACTCGCAATAAAATACATCGATTTTACCCTCCAACGTTCAAATGCGCAAAATTGGTTGCTTGTCGAGTATTGAAATAAATGTTAAACTGAATGTGGTTCTTTCATGTAAGTATGGCATAAGTTTCAGTGACTTCTGTGGTCAAGTTGATCGGTAACGTCGGGCGTGACAATAAAATGGTAATGAGATTCTGGGCCCTAGAATCTAGGGCATTCTAAGGCGTCAGAATATCGGTCCATAAAAATACACTGGACGACAAATCTACTTTTTTATGTCATCTATGACTGTACTAACAATTTTTAAGGTGCCTCGAGTGTTGTTTCCGTGATGTAGATTGATGTAACTTCATAGTAAAAAGTGGTAAAAAGTTATTTAATTTTAAGTGGTTCTAAGTACGAAAGCGTAGAGCAAGTGCTTTATTGTAATTACATATTATCGCAATTATTCAAATTTGTACCTACAAATTGATGTCGCAACCATTTAGAAGATATGAAATACTTGTCTACTGATAATGAAAAAAACATTAAATTTGTTTTTGTATCGAAGAGAGTTTAAATGAAATAGAACATCTTAACTATTTATTGTCCTCTAACAGATTTAGAGAAAAATTGTTTATTAAATTTTAATGTTCGAAGAGACAAACGTTACTATTATAGCGTAATGTTGATGCTATGTACATAATTAAAATTTTAATATTTATACTCTTAAGGTACCAGGTGTAAACTTTAAAACACGTTTGGAAAAAAAAAATATATATATATGCATATACACACACACACACCTGTATACATATATGTTGACCAGAAATGACTAGTTTGTTATAAATGTTTAACATTTCCGAAATCAAAAAACTGTTTGAGCATACCATTGTGCAATTGTGAACTCATATCGTCTGTTATACCATTTCTTCCTATAGATAACATTGGTAAGTTTTTATTCAAATACCATGTTGTATATGTGTGTAAATGTACATACATATATACATAGTATTTTTGATCCAATATGTACTACTCATTATTATGCAAGCTTTAAATATTAACTTTTGTCTTTATATTTTCCCAGTAATCCAAATATAAATTCAATTTTAAGAATTCATATAAATTGTTTGAAATTAATCACTGTATTTTTCTAAAATGTAAATAATCATTAGAATTTATTTATTTATTTACGTTAACAGCCAACTACTTACAATTAATGCATAATTAACGTGTTTCTTGTGCAGAGCAAGAACATATTTTTAATTTTCAAATTATAGAAGTGATAAGCATATCCTGTGTACAAATTGTTTTTTGTATTCGTAGCTTTTTGTTGAGCAATTAAATTTTTAGCTACTCTGATAACCATTTGTGTACACGTTTCAAGTAAATTGGCAGCATATGACAAAAATTGTCTAAAAAACCATAGCCATTCGTTTCCGCATTTAACTTGGGTTTTGCAGGCAATACCAGCTGAATGGGTATCAGTTAAGAATTAATTTTTTGTTACATTTTATTAAACAAATTACAAGGGTCAATATATCATAATATGTTAATTGTTTACATATATGGGTTAATACACATGTAAATGCAAATGTGGAAATATATTTTGAACCACATGTAAGCCAGCAGACAGAGCCTGTTAAGATACAAGCATATTTCACATTTTATAAATTTCTTTTTCCTTAAGTTGTACTAATACATAATAAACATTGAATATTGTACATATGATACTACTAATGCAACCTTGTTATCAATTTTTGATATCATAGCATTGTAACACTAAACAAATACTTAAGACTGATTGTTTACTTACTATTACAAAGTATTTTACTGAACTACATGTTCCTGAAACAATCTGCAAAAAAGATATGAATTTAATCTAATGAGTCACATAACTTGCAAAAAACAGTCTCTATGTGAACACAATAAAAAATTATATTTAAAATTTATTAAAGAACATTATTATTGGTCAGAGCCAGTCTAATAAATTGTCCTTATAAATGAATTTAATTTTACCAAAGTAAGTTGTGATGGAAAGCTTTATAAAAAATTTTCCAGTTTTTCGTTTCAATTCGGTACAATGCATTGATGCTGTTCATAGGATTAACAGAGGTATCCTATAAAGTTTTGAAGCAGCCACGAGTTTCAAAGTCTCATAATGATCATAAATATACATATATGGCTTCTAGAGTGTAAACATTTTTAAGTCAGTTTAATATAACTTTATAATGGCTCCCACAGATTGCATAATAGTATGTTATTTTCATTGAACGAATTATACAGTTATGTTTTTGCAAAGTCATTCACCAGAAGCATAAAATTACATTATTAAATATGTTCTGAAATTAGTTCATATTACTTAATAATTTTTTTTTATTTTAAATATATATTATTATATTACCATTACTATGTATAATAGCAGGGTATTAAAAATTTATTAATATTTATCAAAATCATCATTTTTAAACTGTCAGTAATGAGTATTTTCTAAATGGATTTTAGTAGTTGACTGTTATTATGTATTCTATGTATTATTTAATTTTTTCTTTTAGTCCAAAATGAGTTCTGGATTCATATCAGAAGCTGAGATTACAGAACAGCGAAGATTAAGACAGCAAGAGTGGGAACGTGTAAGAACTGCAGACCAACCATTAGGTTATTATAATTATTTATCTAATAGCTATACTTTATTTAATTACTCATATATTACATAAATTGTTCAATGTTTATAGAAGCTCCAGAAGAGCCATACGACTCAAGATCATTATATGAACGACTACAGGAACAAAAAACTAAGCGAGATACTGAATATGAAGAAGCACACAAGCTGAGTAAGTTAATAAATTGCAATATAGAAATACACAAATAAAATATAATTTTTACATTGACAATATTTTGCAAAAATTTCCTTTCATTTTTTTGTTACAGAAAATATGATAAAAGGTTTAGATGATGACGAGGTGGAATTTTTGGATTTAGTGGATAGAACTAAATTAGAAGAAGAACGTAAAAAAAATCTTGAAGAAGAAAAAGAAATGCGTGACTTTAAAGCAGCTGTTGCTTCCTTACAAGAAAAGTCATTAAATGAAAAATTAAAGCAAGAATTAAAAAATCCTCAAACTGCAAATAAAAATCTTTCTTCTGGGAGGTAATGAATTAATTTTATTCATTTTACTTAATGATATTAAAAGAACGTGTTATACTTTTCAGTAGTCGCACATCACAACTAAAATTATTAGCTGGTGTTGTAGTTAAACGATCTGAAAAGCAAAAGCAGGGTAAGACAAGATAATATTTTTATTATATAAAATCTTACGTGATACTGTGAAATACATATTATTGAATAGTGTTTGAAAGGGGTATATTAGAATTTTGTATTCTTTAATATCAGTCAAATTAAATTAAAATTAATTTAAATGTGTCTGTAGAGATTACACGAGGTGTTAAGAGGAAATTATCATCATCTGATGAAAGCAAAGATTCACCCAAAAACGAAGACTGCCAAGAAAATGATCAGAAAGTAAATGAAAATTTAGAGTGTGAGACTAGTACGCTTCAGGATGTTTCTTTGCAAAATGAAACGGTAGTGAGTAATATGGGTGGTATGAAATGCATTGGCATCTTACCTGGACTTGGCTCTTACGATGATTCTAGTGATAGCGATTGCAGTTCCGATACAGACCAAGATCCGGAACCGAAACATTCCAAATATGATCTTCTAGGTAGAGAAATAAAAATTGTGAAGGAGGAAATTGTTAAAGAAAAAAGCTGAATATGGAATGCTTTTATGTGATTCTTTATTAATATATAAAACAACATTTTGTTTTACAATTCACTGTAATTGTGAAATATAAATATGTATATTTTTTTCGATCATTTTTTGAACATTCTTTGTTTTTTTTTAATATTCTAGGTGATTATTACAGCAATTAATCTTATAAAGCTTTTTTTCATCAACCATCTTTTGTAGTACAATAATTTTGTTTTGTAACGAATTTAACTTGTTTTACTTGTGCATATTCTGCATGGGAGGATTTATGTTAAGCCATGATAGTTCTGAAAATTAAATTACAGTTCTTTATTAGTTTACGGCTACTGCTTGTAAGACATTAGTACTTTTAAAAGAGTTGTAAAAAATACAAACTTAATAGCGATTGTTTTTGATAGTTTTAAGAATGTGTGGTATACAGCTGTAATACCTTAAAATGATTACTTCTAATTACTATATAACTAAATAACTGTATTACTGAGTTCTAATGACTAAGTAACTTCGTATGACTATAGTACTAATAGTGATAGTAAAATGATTTGTACTGTCATGATAATTTATTTATAAGCTGTATAATATCGTAATGTATATAATTTGTAAACACGTTTTACTCCATGGCAAGATACATTAATAAATCCTTATAATATTTGTATTAATTTACTTTTTAAGGAAGTGCATAACATGAAAATTATGCATAATACTATATTTCGGTGTATAATAATTCAAAATTATCTGACTGTCAACAAACTTGAGGGAACTAATATAATGCTCTATTTATTTTATTTTAAAAACATGTAAAAAACAAATTAATCTTCCAATGGAATTTTCAAAATACCTAAATCAAGTGGCTATAATTTATACCTGAGCTATCTTATTTCTATAATTAATATAAATTTATATACAAGTGTTCTTTATGAATGAATAATCAATCATATTAAAGCAAATTATTCACATTTATTTTACAAAATAATTAACTTTTATGAAATATTTTCAGTACCCATATAATGTTTTAGATTATCAATTTGATCTTAAGTTAATAAGGAATTTATCCAATCATCATTTATATCTTCTGTGACGCTATAATCATTGCTTAGAAAATCATCTAAAACTGTATCTATGTTTACACTAGTATTCATTAGTGAAATATCCTGTGATATATTTTCTTGACCTGATGTATAATCACAAGTAACATTAGTTGGTGAAGTAAATTGTTCGCATTCGTTTTTACAACTTGTAACTGTTTTATTATTATGAAAGATTTTATCAGAATTGTCTTTCTTTATATTATTACTAATGTTTTCGTCATTTCTATTATCAGCGTCAACTGATTTATTTGGCTCCAACTTTTTCTTAATGGCACTAAAACTGAATTTTTCGTAGTGTCTACCGCTGGTTACAGTTCGTCTTACAGATACATTTTTCATGACTAAAGCATTTGACTTTGTATCACTACCCACTGTACCACCATTACTACATTCTCCTACATTAGTATTAATAGTTTTTGGAAGCGTTGTGCATACAGGAACTTCAAAAGATATTGTTATTGGTGGTAAACCATCTATTTCCATTTTGGTTATGTTAAAATGAGATTTTGGTTCTGTCACTTTGTTATTAACTGGATTAGTTTCATGTGATTCTGAATTCACCAATTTCTCAGATATAGGTAAAGAATTGGAAGCTAGGTTCTTAACTCTCATATCGGCACATTTATTAATACATAAAGGTTTTTCATCTAAATCTTGGTGACCTGAAATTTCATTCTCTGTTACATTGGAAATATCAATATTTGTTTTTTCTATACTTGTTATTTTAGGAATTCCTCTCAAGCTGTTCGTATTTTGATGATTTCTTTGTGTACAAGAATCATCTTCCCTTTTAAACTCTTTAGCTATTGAATTTATAAATTCATTTTTAATTTTTGTACCCTCTGTACAATCATCAATTAATAATAAACTATCATTACTTCTATCCGGGTTACTAATAGCTTCTGTATTTACATTATATTCCCCTTTGTTTTCAGATGGCAATATTTGTGACTCTTGACACATATTTTGTAAAACATCAGTATCATTATTTATCTTTATTGGGTTTGCAGTATTAATACTTTTTGAATGATTAGTCATTAAGTTAGGACTAATAATGGGTAACGCAGATGAACTACATAATTTTAATTTGGGTGTTGATTTATGGTCATCCCAGTAGCAAGACCATATTTTACCCACTATTCGTGGACAAAATACAAAGCCCTCGTAACCGAAGGGCCAGATACACTAAAATACAAAACAAATACACTAAATACTAAATAGAGCCATATGTAACCTTCAAAAATATTTTTGTAAAAATGTGTACGTATGTTGATTATAATAGAAAATGAGGAAATCACATTGATATGGTAAAATATTTAAAGAAACTAATATTCTAGATAGTACAAATTTACCTTCTCTTCTTCACAAATCCATACACCTTCTTGTAAATTAATTTGCAATAATTTTACTCTCCTCTTTACACCTTTCTTTAAACACAATGGACATAAATCTTGCATTTTATGAAACTTAATCAATATCAAAGTCCCGTTAATTTACTTGTAAAATGACATTATAGTGTTTATAATTTAATTTTACAAGAACTTGTTGACCTGTTGATCATTTCGTTTGTAGTAAGTCCAAGTAAGTTAAATAAAATATTAAGAGGGCGCAACAGTTTCTGAAAGGGCGCGAATACCTGCTATTACCTGTTGTTGCTTTCCGAAATATCCAGTAATAAATTTGTCTGTGCCTAAGTGTATCCCTCAAAATCGAGGAAAAAGTATACTTCATTACTGTGCGTCTATATTACTATGAAAACTGTTATATTTCCGTGAAAAACAAAACCTAGCAGCGTTATCGAACCTGTAAAATCTGATATTCAAAATGCCAATCGATCAAATACAATATTCTGAAAAATACAGCGATGACAAATATGAATATAGGTTCGTATCCAAATTTTCTCAATTCATATAAAAATCAGGGTTAATTAATACAGATATATGTACGTATCTTCTAAGTAGGAAATAACGAATTTTATTTTCAAACATGAGTAAAAGTATGAAAATAAAATAGCAATAGAAAATAAAATGTATAAGCTTTTAAAGTAGTATTTAAAATTAGTAATTTGTTGAATAATACACAAACTAATAGTTTCATTTAAAAATTTTTAAATATTTCATTTGTTTCAAATGTTATAAGTCCATTTCCTATTCTTTACTAAGAAACCCATTTGACAACATTGCTTTTAGTAACAGTAATATTATAGATTATAATTTCTGTGGTATTAAGCAGTAGCAATTAGCTAATTCAAAGTGTTATCAAATATAAACATGCAAAATAACTGGTTCTGAAATAGAATAATAGAAAATCTGTTTAGTTGTCTTGAACTGTTCTTGCATCGATGAAGGAAAAATGAATATTTTTATTGATGGATTTTGTTAAGTGTAACTAGTTATACTTAAGTAAACCTCTACTACAGTTTTTGTGTTATGATACTACTTCTTTTCTACAGCTATTTATACTGCCAAAAAATATTTGAAATACATTTGTATTTACAATATAAACATCAAAATTTTATTTTATATTTCAAGTTCTTTAAGTAAATATATTTTTTTTACTAAAACTTCATTTTTCATTTAAAGTAATACTTTATTTATGATAAATTATGTGGAATCAATTATTTAAAATGGTATTTGAAATGTTATTCCTCTAAAGTTTTTTTTTCTTTGGTGCCATTCCAGTCATTTTTGTATTCTTTTTTCATTTTAATTTTTTTCTCTTCCTTTTTCTTATTTCTGCCATGCTTCCTTTACTAATTTGCATTCCTTTCCTGCCATCATTTCTTCCTCATGTTTCCTTGCCCTCCTTGTTGCCCCTATTTTAACTTTTTCCAACTTTGTCTCTCCTCTTACTTTGTACATTAGTGTCCATCTAACCAATTCCAATGTCCATTTCAAATACTTAATCTTTATGTTTTCCATCTTTCATTGCTCCTTCCATCCCCATACTTCTGTACCGTTAACAACAATATATAGAAATACTATTCTGAAATAAGCTTTATTTATATTTCAGTAAGTAATATTTCAAATAAAAGTAGTTTAATTTTAAACTAAAGAAAAATGCTTAATCAATATAACTCTAAAATGAGTAATTACAATGTAAAATATAGAAAGGGTATAGCAGGATAAGGGTGTCAAAAGTGCCCTTAGACTGATTTGGATGTACGATATACCATTCGATAACTTATCAAAAAAAATAACTTGTAACAAGTTTCAACCCTCTATCTCAACCAGAAGGGTAGTAACAGGAAAAATTCGGATAATTCGGTTTTTCGTCTATTTCTGCTATTTAATCACATGCAAAATTTCTGCAAAAAATGTGATAGATAGTGCTCATTGGGGCACGTAATTAATATTTTTTCGTAATTTTGTGGTTGAGAATCCTAGTTGTAAAAAATCAAAAATGCAAAAAAATACCGAACAAATTTTTTTTCTTATATAACTCTTAGAGCGACTATTTTTATATAATCATAGTAGCGATATATTATCATAAGTATTCTTCTCAATTTTTTGGAGACTTCAGTAGCGTGCGCCGTACTTTTAAAAATCAAAAACCAATTTTTTCGGCGTTTTTTTCGTGAAACAATGACTTATATTTTGAATATTTGTATTTCTTTTATTAAATGAGTATATTATACAATTTTAATATGGCTACATTCAGCAACGCGGTACACAAATTATCGAAATTAAATTCACTTAATTAAAACTATGCTGCGCACATTACATGCGAAAATATTTACATTTTTGCCAAGAGCATTTTTTTTCAATAACTATATTTGTTTAATTTCTAATTATATGACAATGGATTGTATTTATTTGAAAACAGATTAAAAATATTCACAAGACTAATTTTGGAACACTTGGTATTGCACCGTGTCTCCAGTGGTGTATCCTTTCAATTACACCACTGTTTTACATTTTTTATAGTAAATGAATATAGGAATTTAATTTAAAAATTCCTTATCTTTAATCATCTTGGGTGAATTGTGGTAAAGATGATGCATAACGTCCTGAGGCTGTTTTGCTGTTTCGCCGTTTCTCTTTCCACATACCCTGTTAATTATAGGATTATTTATCTTCTTCAACACTAAATACATGTATGAAGTTTGTTTTAAAAATACTTATTGTCAAGAACTCAACTGTTTCCATTATAAATGTATAGAATTCTCAGTCCATTTATATTGGAATTAAAGCTTTCTTTAAAATTATTGTTTGTTTCTTTAGACATGTAATTCTGCCAGCTGATTTAGCGAGACATGTTCCAAAAACTCATCTTATGTCAGAAACAGAATGGAGAAATTTGGGTGTTCAACAAAGTCCTGGTTGGGTTCATTATATGATGCATGTACCAGGTAAGCAATACAAAAAATTTCTTATGCACTTAGTTAGTTATAGTTTAGATTTCTATTGCATACCTTAAAATATATGAGAATTTATTTGAATAAAATTAACATAGAGTTGAATGAAGGAAGATTTTTTCAATAAGTATTAAAAAGAAGTAAAACATTATACACACTGAAAATCAATTTTAATATGCCTTGTCAGTTTCTTTTAGTTTTATAAATTGTATAAATTTTCCAAAATCTTATAACAGAAAAATAATTCACTATGTCATAACTATATGATACCCCCTGAAACATGGAGTTATCATAGATCCGATTTTAAATGACAATCTGGGCAGTAATAAATTGACGTGCTGGATGCAATAAGACTAGCGCTCGAAAATGCGAAAAAGTATTGTTCACACGTTACAAAAGATTGGAAAATTAAATGTTGTTAAACTGAACTTTAAAAAATATAGTATTGTAAAGCTCTTCATGACACACATTTATTCTATTTACAGTTTTGTTATCCAATCATTATTTTTCCAGATGAAAATTATAAACGAAAAGTTTGTCTTCGTCTAAAGTCAGTATTTTCTGAAACATACATTGTGATAACTTTATATCGTAATAAGACTTGAAACAATAAGTTCAGAAAACTCTAGCGAAGCCGTAAAGTGTATGCAAAAAACCTTTATATTAACAAATATAATAATATTTAATTACAAAGTAATCCTGGGCTGAACCTATGCTTTCCAACATTCGCCGATAAAAAGTATTAAGGCAATTTTGAGGTACATGTAACTTGAAGCGAGGAAGTTGTTCCTTAATATACAAGAAAGTTTTTCGCCAAGTTTCACATTGATTAATAAATATTTGTAGAAGATATGGCAATATACATAAGTATATGAATACCGTCAGAAGTCCTCACCAACAGACAACAGCCGCGAACACTGCGCCACTTACAATTAGCACTCGCGTTACACTACAAAGACAATATTATTTTCCACATATTTATTAACAGTTTCAATACAATATTCATATATCTATTTATATTATCTTTCCTTTTTCATTATCTTTTTGTCTACCTTTTCTTTTATTTGCACACTTTATTTTAAATAGATGTCGTGTGCATTTATCGTTATAAACTTTTAAATAACTTTCGACAACGCGTTTAATACTGGACATTTAAAGCGATACTATGTATACGGCCGACGTTCTGTCTCGATTCGATTCAGACTCAGCTATCGGACCCGTTGACAGATACTCTGTTTCATTTTAAATGCCCAGTGTCGACCTCAGATCGTTGACGCTCACCGTTCGACAGCTCGAATAAGCACATTGCCGAAAGTTATTTGTTATGAATCAATGGGACGGAGCAACAAATATCATAACTTCCAAACTAACAGATTTAAGACTAATAAGTATCTTAATACTTTTTTGCAAGGACCGAGAAATTGTATCGACTAGTCTAGCTAAAAGTGTAGGGTTTCATTTAAAAAAAGGGTGCGATTGCATTTTTTAGTTGCATCGATCTATAAAAATGCATACACTTAGTCCTATGGTATGCTTCATTCGATACCATTTAATTTTATCGTGTGATTAGTCAGTTATAAATTATCATTTTATAATTATTTCATTTTTTGAAAAATTTTTGTAACATATGTAAGACGTATTCGTCGGAAAACGATCCTATCGGGGGAAGGCCGAGGTTCGAGCCGAAGGACACTTAGGTGACGACATCTGGTACTTACACCCCTTACAATACACCCTCGCAATGCCTCGCATGGCCCGAGGATTGTCCTAAACGTGTGATGCGGAAGGTGTTTAAGGGACAGATAGAAGTTAACCATTGTAACGGCAACATCTTGGCGACCAATATACTCTCTGGCTTTTCTTTCATTTTCGACTCTGTCATTTTTCCGAGCAATCGTTTTACACGTACACCGACGAGCAAACTCAGCTTTCGCTGGGGGAAAAAGTAAGGTAGGCGAAGGGCCTCCTACCATTTAGTATTTGGAATTACTGAAATCTATGCCAAATTAACATTCAATTTAACATTTATTTCACTACCTGGAATAAATTTACCAAATGGTAGAAAACTTTTCTTCTACGCCGCTTTTTCCCCTCGCAGGGCCTAGCGGTAGCCGAGTTTGCTCGCGAGTATAATGTTCAATTGCACTCAAATTTGGACACATTTTCATCGGGAAAATCTCTTCATTCATGACACTTCCATTAATATATATTGAAAATTTTAAAAGTTTAAATTTTTATTCGTGTGATTCCTTATCTTATTTACGTCTGCTTACATTGTATGCCGATGGTCACTCGCTGGCTTTCGACGTTCGACGCTCGACAGCACGTTTTTTTGAACTGGCTGGTTGGCCAAAGTTATTTGAAGGTTTATTCAAAGCCTTCGAATGAAGATAAAAATAAAAGATGAACATTTTATTCGACGCTATGAATAAAATGTCCCGAATAAAATTTTTTATCTTTTATTCATTATACGAAATTTTTATTTAGATAAAAATTTTGCCCATCTCTGAACGTACCCTCTGTAACTTTACATATTTCCGCAGGGATACATTTTGTATAGAATATATCAAAAATACTAAATATTGTTTATTGCATTGTAATGTATGTAAAACGTAGTCCTATTTCAGACAGAATTTAAACGTTTATATACTTTAATTCTTAGGCGATAATAATTCGTTAATTATACATTGTATCACTAATAAATGCTGCGATAAAATTGTTTGTGTATATTTGAAAAAATTACAATATTTAAAATATATCAATGTCAATTAATGTAAATTATATTGTAGAACCTCACGTACTACTGTTTCGTAGACCAAGGACTGATGTCTTAACAACTTCGAGAAGCGCACCGTTTCGAAGAGAGTCTGAAAGAGTATATTGCGTTTGAATATATGTTTATATAATGCTGTTATTATGGGATTGGATTGGCGTGGATCTTTGTGGAAATGACTGCCGATTACAGCTTAATAAAGGGATTATTAACTCCACACGTTCGCTTTTGATTTTTACCGTTTATTATATCGTTCTAAACTGCTTTCTCTCTCTCACACACACGCACACATTCACACTTACATGTTTCCAACCTAAGAAGAGTAATCTCTCCATACATGAGGTATTGCTACTCTCAACGTATAGTGTTACGTTTGTTACGGGCTTTTCCAGGGATTACTTTTTGACTGAAAAATCTTTAAAGGAGACGATTTTGATTGTAAAAAAACATGTTTGTCTAAAAATCTTTTAAGACTTCTTTAAAAGAGACAATTTTGATTGTAAAAAAACATGTTTTTCTGATCGAGGGTCAATACTGGAATGGACTCCTTTTACAAAACGATCGTTTTTGTTACATTTCTTAATTACAATATGTCCTAAGATACCAGGAGCCAATAAAATAATTATTAAATTATGAAATAATTTCTGATTTGTTAATACGTTTCCCTCAGCTATTGATTTTTCTAATTTTCAAGTGTTTAACATATTTGCCATGATTTAATATATTTTGGAGAAAGAGTAAAAGCGAAATTCGACTGTTAAAACATGCGTTCCTAATCAAATATTGATTACTTGAAATACGCCTTCTAAAAAAAATAACGCCGCTACAAGATGAGGGCAAGATTCACAACACCTCCACCCTTACGAAAAAGGGTTTCTATTAACTTATACATGCCTTTATCAATTTTTACATGCTTCAATTTGGTTTCAAGATGGTTTTATCATGCTTCACTCTTATATTTTCAAAAATATATATAAAAAATACTGTGTATTAGTATGGTTTTATGTAAAAAATAACGTTAATTATAACACTGAGCACAAAACTCTATTCTTGAAAATAGGACTCCCTAATCCGCCATAAGCGGTGTTGCCACGTTGTTCAGCACGGCTAGTACTAGAGTTGGTTGTGGTATAATGAAAAGTTAAAAGGTCATAGTTGTCCGGCTAACTTCACACAGGTTGTATATACATATATCAGTGGAAACATGCATGAAACATTCGAAAAGTTCGACATTAGCGCCATTGGTGACGTGCTCAGTAACTTATGACTGACTATACTGGACTATACACAACTATACATTCTGATAGGAGTTAACAGGCTGCCCTGGGTTGAGTCCGCTGAACGCAGCCAATGTCACGTGCTCGTGGCTTGCTTCGTTCTTGTCTTATCACGTGGAAAAGCTAAAAAAGAAGTTACATTTATTGCTTTATGTAGTAACTTAAACTGTAAATAGATTAATAATAAATTTCAATTGTGTTGTTAGATTCGTTACATCTTATAGCCAACACTATAAGCTAAGGTTATGGTCAACATTTCAGTTCTATTTATATAAATATATAAATCCTTTGATGTGTGCAATACGATTTTAATATTTTATTTAAATATTATGAAACATAATGATTATACATGCAAAACATGTTCATTTAAAGTTATAGTGATGATAAAATTATGAAGATATATATAATTCATAATAAATTTGTAACATTCAATCAAAGAAAATGAATGCTGTGATTGCATTATGTATTTTTTGTGAATCACACGGGCCTAAAGTGATATTCACAACGCAAACGTATCGTAATTATGACAATCAAAGTACAGAGAAATTTAAATTTTATGGATCTAAAGAAATATTAAGACGTAGTCAAAGCATGGTTGAAGATGGACAATATGAATGTGAAGGATGTAAAAGTATCGGTAATATGAAGTATTTGAGTAACGAACATGAAACTAGAACATCATTTTTGTCTTCCCAACAATCATTAACTCAAGATGTCTGGTGTTTGTTAAAGCATGCATGTTTTAGGTATAGTATCGGTGAAATATTATTTATTATGCATTCTTATCAAGATAAATACACATGTGAAAGTACAAACTTATATTTTAATTTTATCTATTTAAGGAGTTTAAGTTGCGAAGTACATCCTGGGAGGGAAGGTGTTTGCTACTTTGGAGATGAATACAAGGGGCATGTTTTAAGTCATACCTTTACATTAAAAGATGCCCAGGTGAATTATGCAACGAAAAAGCATGTTTGGTAGCTATTACAACAAATTATTCAAATCATCTCAATAACTATAAGTTTTAAGATTTAGAGATAAGCTAAAAAAGAATTTCATCAATACAAAGAATTGTCTATGTTCCTTGTAGGCAAGAGGTTTCCGAAGATGGTGCAGTTTCATTGTTTTTATGAGAGACAAACAGTTTCTCCTAAACATGTGGCCTTTTTTGGTTGACAATTTGAAGGAAGTAATTAGGGAATTACAAGACTTTGCAGAGAAAAAATACAATGCAGAGGAAGCAAAATGCCCACAGAGAGTTGTCCGTCTCACAACTGTTAACAGTGGATCAGGGTCATATAATAGTTTAAATAAACAACCAAGAAGTTTTCGTGAAATAACAAACGAGAATCATGTTTTTATAAGGTTTGTTTTATACATGCTACACATTATGTAATAATCTTAATAAATAGGATATTAACAAATTATAATTAAATCAGAATCCACATGTGGCTGGTATGGATTCTTAGTGCAGGAGCAAGACATTTCATAGAAATTTTTCCCATGAGCTTGTTAGATGATGAATTAAATTACAATTTGGAGCATCAGATTGGTTAGCATCATAAAAAATATTGTATTTGAAAAAGTATGTATATCTGAATTTGTTTTATAAAAAAACATTCTCTTTTCAGAAACTGAAGAAGGATTTACTTTAGTGAATGCTAAATTACCTGTAAACTTAAATTTAAATTTGAACGAATCAGAAACAAATTCAGAGTTTTCAGAAGTCTCAGGAAAATCTACAACAGTGATACTCAGAGAATTAAGAACTATATTAGGAAAGGACCAATTTAGACAACTTTTATATTCTAGTTTAACGGGTGTTCAAATTTTGGTAAGGGGTCCAAGTATTCAAAGGTTGGAATCTTTGTATGGACTTTGTTCTCTAATTCCACGTGCATGTCAAAGAGTTAAGGTGCAAGCATCAGAATATATGGATCCTAATAAGTGTAACTTCATTGGTATTTACATATTGTCTTGAAATGTTAACATGAAACTTTCATTGTTAAAAGTGATTTAATCGATTGGACTATTAATTTCAGGTGTGGATACTTCAGTGGCTGTTCCTGTGCCATGTGTAAATGTATGTAGATTAGATATTATATCTGATGAACATAAAGTTGAAAACACAAATTCGCACATCGTTAGATGGATGGGTATATTACCATTGAAACTTCCAACGTTATTAACAAAGATTGAAAAATCACTTGATAATGAGAAACTTGGAAATTCAACGCTGAAAGCACATATTGCAGCACTACAGGAAGAATGGGCAAAGTATAGTTATTGTTAAATGTTAAAATCATATCAAAACATTACTTTCGCACATTTAAAAAATTAAAAATATGATTCTTATTGTGATTACAGTATTGCAAAAGTCATCCACGCCATGCGAGGTCGAGGTCATAGCGAAGACCTTTTAGGACTTATGCTTAGCTTAGGTGCTGGTCCCCATGATAAAAAATTGATAGATGCTTGGTCAATGGGCTTACCACCAAATCCGGCATAATTTTTTAATTAACTGGCAATATATCATGTGTTGTAAAGTATTGTGGGGTAACATATAACTTAATATATGTATTGTCTTTGTATTTCTAAATTGTTTTTTTGCAATATTTATATATTCAAGGTTGTGCAACATTTTTTATTTATAATGTAGTCAAGAAATAAGTGTCGAAACAAATGTTAATACAAAATAAATTATTTTACATGCATCACTTATGTTTAATATTTCACATACACATTTTAAAATTATATAACATCCATATGACATTTCAGTACAATAATGCTAAAAATAAAAATGTATTTATAAGTTACATTCTCTTATTTATGGTAATATAGACCAGTATGGTCTCATAAAGCAATATTTCAGTTTCATTGTTAATATAATAATATTACATAAAATACACATAATTTATAAAATTACATATAACCCCAAAAGCATTTTGTATTTTTTTCATGATAATTGTATTTTTCTACAAATATTCAAATGTGAAAGAAAGTAAAATAGTAAATAGTTAAAAAATATATTTAGACAATAAAGAAGTTAAAAAATTTTTACAAATTGTCTCTTTTTATCATTGCATAGTGCAATTTATCAGAATTTTTTAGATAAAGTTTATCATTTGCAATGTCATTAGAGATGCTTGAATGTGCAGTAAATATTTCTTTGTTATTAATAATATTTTAAAGTGTTGTAATTACTTATATAATTTAAGTTTAAATCATAAAATACTATCGTAAAAACCGATAAACATTTATTTATGATATAATTAATTGAAACCACTGTATGAACAAGTACTTTTAAATAGTAATGGAAATTCATTCACCTGTAGCATATAATCGCGAATCACTAGAATTTGAAGATTTTAAAAAATTTGAACTTTCATCTAAAAATTTTGAGGAACAGTATTCTAGTATATATGTGGCAAGGTTGACAGCATTAAGATATCACCTCTTGCAGAAAGTAAAGGTCAAATGGGGTAATATTTTTTTACATAGGTTACACCATTACCGTTTTAGGTTAGATTTTTAATGAATAATATTTTATTCCAGCCCAGTATGAGGTTGTTACGTTATCAGAACTATGTGAAAAGAACGAAGGTAATGATTATATCATAATAGGCACATTATACAAACATCAAGAACTAAAACCATCAATACTACGTGAACTCAGCGAAGAACTTCAAATAACGACTCAAACTCCAAGAACGAATTATGCAGCCTTTAAGGACCTCATTTTTTTGGAAGGCGAAACTTTACGTATTAAACTGGTTGGCAGTCACATGAATATTCAAAATGTCGTTACTGGTATTGTTTGTGCTGTACTTGGACATGAACTGAATAGTGGTGAATTTTATGTAACTATCAATTTTATTATATTACACATTATATATAAGAATAATCACATAAATATAAATAAAATTAGAATGAAAAATTAGTATATATTAATATTATAATAATTTATGTTCTGATTAAAATACTTTCTATTATATAATGTGTATTAATTGTAGGTGGTAGATTGGTGTTTTCCAGGATGTAATCTAAAACCGATTGCACTCAATAAGCCATTAAAACAGTGTGGAAAAATTTTATTAATATCAGGTTTGGATTTAGCAAATAATACACAGTCATTAAGTTTAAATCTCTTCTCTGAATGGATAAGTGGAATGATTGGCTGTACAGAGGTTCAGAGAGAAGTGGCATCTATTGTATGCATTATTATAGCAGGTATTAATATCTATCAACTTATTTCAGAACATATAAATATAAGGGTGTTAATAAAAATGTGGGACATTTTCACAGGATGGATTCAAAAGTTGAGTTTGAGGCTTTATTTCTTGGAGTTTTTAATTGTTGAAAATTTGAACGAAATACATGTAAAATTCGTCTGACGCGATCGGTTATTCTATTTGAGAAGCACGTTCTTCAACTGTTTCACAAATTGGTTTCATTCATTTCATTTAATTTCAATCGATAATTTCACTAGGTCATCGATCGAGCTCGTGTATCAGCTAAGAATAGACTCTTCGAATAGTATAACCCACGTGCCAGACCCATTGCACACACATTTTGTTTGTATGTTTAACAATTTACAACTCGGGAACAACACCTTTTCTTAGTAAGGCATGTGTAAATCACCCTGGGAAAGTTTTTCATATGTTTATTAACATTTTTGTATAAAGCAAGCTATACAACAATATCATTCATCTAGGAAATAGTGTAAGAGGATCTATAGAAGTATACAATCATAAAGAATATTTTATAACTAAAGCACACAATGAGGCTATATTTAAAGAGGCTGCAGCGGTAACATATAAACTTGACAATTTTCTTGCTTCTATAGCACAATGTTGCCCAATAATATTAATGCCTGGTGAATTTGACCCAAGTTGTCATGCATTGCCTCAACAATCACTTCATCCTTGCATTTTACCTCAGTGCTCCAGGTATTAGAATATATTTGTTTTATATCATAGAAATGTACTCTTAATATTTATATTGTCTAGATTGAAGAGATTTTATGGAGTCACCAATCCATGGTGTGGTCGCATCAACTCTCGTATTATAGCTGGATCCAGTGGTCAGCCCATTTTGGACATCATGAACGTGTCTGGGCTTGCTAATACTTCTCCATTAACATGGCTAGAATGTACATTAGATTGGAAGCATTATGCACCGACTGCACCAGATACTGTACCAGCTTATCCATATTCCAAGATTGATCCATTCATTATAACGGAATATCCTGACATATACTTTGCTGGTAATATGGACAAGTATGACACCAAATTAGTAACAGGTAAGAAGATTCTTAACACGTTGGCGCCCGACTTTCTTTCTCTATGGCTTAAGCCCGTACTCGTGACGCAAATCCGCGTCAACGGGTACCAACGTATTAAGTGTTTTTAATTTTTACAATGTGGTGAAGAAAATGGTGAAGTAGATTATTTATTCGCAGCAAATGAAGGACAGACAATAAGAGTAATTTGCATTCCAAAATTTTCCGAAACACAAACAGCAGTGTTGGTTGATTTACAGGATTTAAGAAGTCAGCCTGTTTCTTTTAGCATTAATTAATTAAATATATTTTTAAACTTTCACATGAAATTATAATATATAATAATTAATTTGCAAAAGAAAGTAACAATTAAAACATTTCCTTACATAATTTTATTATAGTTTGTATATATAAATATATTATTTATTTTAATGAACAATGGATTCATTTCTTTCATACCTTCTCTATCTGTGCGCATAGTCTTTCCTTAATAACAAAACAGTAGTTTCTTTAATGATATTTATCTAGATCTATAAATGAAAAGTAAGAAATACTGTACTATTTTTCTATTACATGTATGTATGAATAAACAAACATTATCTGATAAAACATATCTTTACATCAATAAAATTTCATTATAGATTGTAGGTACTGTATCAATAATATTTACTTTGTTATTTGGAAGAATATAACATGTACTTTATATTTACAAATTAATTCAGATATCATATATATGAGTAATATAATACTGACATCATTTAATAGTAAAATACTGTTTCTTTCTTTTTTTTATGAAAATATGAGTTATTTTTTGGCACAATAGTTACTATAGTATCATTCAATTTTAATAAAATTAGGATAAATAATGTTGACATTTAGTATTGATTTGTTAATAGTTTTGAGTACTTTGGTATTAACTTTATGCATATTTATAAGGTACTTCAGACTAGAATTTCATCACAAATTTAAGTTATATACCTTTCAAATAATCATAATACTAACACTCATTTAAATGTTAAATAGTGATTATCGTCATTTCAGAGGCCTGCACATTCTTTTTTTTAGAATTGTAATATATTATTAAGATCTTCTAGATATAAATTAAAACTTCCCTAACTACAGGACTTTGAAGGAATTGGTATATTCATATTGAGGCAAATATTCATATTATTTGATGATTCTTGAGATTCCAAAACTTCATGTTGTTGATCCATTGTTTTTTCTTCAGTTCTCATTGCACATATGGCATCTGTGAGGGCAACTATGTAATTCTTTGCTAAAGTTAAGGTTTCAATTTTCGATAGTTGTCTTTTCTTGCTTACATGTGGAATTACTTCACGTAAAGACTACAAAATATAATAATTTAAACTCTCTCTTTCAAAGGAAATAATTCCAAAAAATAAACATTACATATATTTTTACCTGAAAAGCATCATTTAAGCTGTGCATTCTCATTCTTTCTCTTTCATTACTTTCTAATCTTCTTAAAGTCCTTTCTCTAGGTGTAGATCCTCTAGATGGCTTTGACAATTTTAAGCCTGATTTCTCAGTTTTTTTGTTATTTCGACGTACTGTTTTTCTAGCTTGTGATTGCTGTTTAGGCCAGTTTCCTTCCCAATTATCGCTGTTCATTACTTTGGATTTCATTCGAAAATATTCCTTTTACAATTAATGATATTATAATTCTTGTTATAATATAAAATTTTATCATTGTTAATTTACTTCTTTCTTTGTAATTATAGTTAATAATTTCATTAAAAAATCACAAAAATTTTAAATAATTCCATATGAGAAGCAGATAACTCAAAGTTAAATGTATTAGTGGGATCTGTGTACATACTTACAATTTACTCGTATAATTTTAACTGGCACCTAATCAATGAATAAATAAGTTGCAGATCTAGTTGTATATGTTAATTTCTTAATAAGTTCAAAACGCAAGATTTCGTTGCGCCTGATTTCGATGTAGTCTTAAATAAAATAAAGTAATGATAACTTAAATGTTGCAATACATTTTTGAATATTTGAACTAACTGCACGATGCCGCGTGTACTTGTTGAGCCACGTTGGAACGACGACTGACGTCGCGTTGCCGGGGTGCGGCCGAAACAGCCTTCCACCCCCGGGAACTATGCAATCTACCCTGTGACCTTTTCTTAATATCTTTTCATGGTACTTCATTAATCTCAAATTTCAATTCATCTAAATAAAATGAATTTACAGGTAAATAGTTCTACTGAAGAAGTCGATAGGTTTAAGTAATTTTACTCAAATATAACATTAACAAAATTATTGAATAACGTTTTTTCAAACATTCACGTGTATTATTCAACATTTCATTAATTTTACAAACAAAAAATTTTACTATTTAATAAAAAGAATTTACTTACATTTAATACAAATTTGTCAATTTTTAGTAAATTTTCATACAGCAAGATTCAGACTACACTTAAAGATTTCCTTGTTTTAATGCACACCTATTATGCAGTACATACGATGCTTGGTACGTATGCGCGGCTACAGGTGGGCGTATGACGTAATTCGCCCACGCGGTCCTTTCTATCTTTCTATAATCACACAACCCCCGATCATGGCAGCGTAGAATATCCTACAAAGTATTCGGCACATATTCTTCACCCCCGATCACATTTAAATTCCATTACGTGTAAAGCAGAATGTATTTAATATATTTCATTTTTAAGTAATCTTTTTTCTTGTTAATAATAATTTCATAAAATATTCACACATAAAAAAAATCAATAATTTAAAAAATGTTCGAAATCCTTGTTGACTAATTTTTAGACTATAATAAAAAAATATTTCAAATTTTATATATTCAATAAAATTAAGAGTCATAAAACCTAAAACAAAAAACTTACGAATTTTTTAATAAAAAATTTTTCAACAATATGAAGTTAAGTACAAGTTGATCTTTATTGTCTATGTTTTATCCTTACATTTGCCACAACAAGTACCAGACTGTTTTTCTAATTCAGATTCATTATGATTTGGAGTCCATGGTCCAAGGCTAGCAGAAGCATAAAAGTCCATAGGGTACGGTTTATCAATGTTGAATTTTATCATGTTTAAAGCCACTGCTCCCTCATAAGGTGTAAGAAATGGTTTTTCAAAAGCTGTACCCCAGTCTATACTTAATCGCGGACATGCAACCTATTGGATTATTTTTAATATTAAATACTGTCATAATTTTAGTTAAAAAATGAAAGTTTATGGATACAAAATAGTATTACCTGTATAAAGGCATCGATACCGTTAAAGAGTTTAATTTTATCTGGAAATATTTCTGATACTAATATAATGACATTTTTCTTTCCCAATGTATTAATTTTATTTTCTAAATTTTTCAAAACATTAGAATTTCCTTGTCTCCCCAAAGTGCCAAGTATCAGTCCAAATGTGCCAGACTCTTTTGCATTGTCTATAGCCATTAATCTAGTATTCAGCATTCCTTCATGATTATAGAATTCTTCAGTTAGTTTTTTCTCATATGGATCATATCGAAACGCCCTTAGTTTTGGATTAGCAATCATTACTGCTTCTAAGTGAAACCGACCATCCCCAACATAAATAACCACATCAGCGCATCGAATTTGTGGTGCTGTGCAACCTAAAATCTACATAAAAGTATGAATAATCTTCAATGTACAAATTTACAATAAGTTTTGCAACACTGTATACAATTTACTTCATTTTAGTGACACAGGAAATCATAAATACCTCCCCAGGACTTAACGGTTTACTTTGTGGTGTAGATACTTCATAGCCGTTTTTCTTCATTTCTAATGCAATTGCTTGTAGTGTTCCAGCAAACTGAATAGTGCTTACAAGGGCTATTTTTGTTGTGATTGGTAGTGTAGTTTGCAAACATTCAATACAATGCGAAGTATCAATTTTGATATTTACAAATACATAAAGTACTTTAATTCCAACTGTTTGATCAATGGGTATCAAACAAGAATGTCCATAGTGAATTAAAAAATCTGCATCTAGTGCTTTTGCAGTGTAATCATCTATACAACATGCCCCTATAAGATAGCAATTTATTATATACATATCAACAATTACATTTTAATTATAGTGCATTGTTATTATACATGCTTGCTGGACAAGATATAGCAAAATTATAAAACTAATATCCTGAGGATGAACACCCTTTGATGAACTAACAAGAGAATTTCGATAACCCAAAAATTCTGATGTTCGTGAAACTTGACAGGTTTGTGGAATGAAATTGTTAATAATTTCTTGTTTAAATACATAAATGAAGAAATTTTTAATAATTTTATTGTACAGTGTATGAAGCATTAAAAGCCATTAAATTTCCTCTAACAATTTCTTTGTATCTACTATTATTTTCAAGGCAGGAAAATAGGAAAACCATATTAATCTTTAAGGGTATTTTTACCCTAAAGAATCCAAAAGTAACCAGAAAATTACCTAATACTTCTACTGAGGTCCCTTACAAACCTACAAAGTTTAAAAAAAAAGATTGAACTTTTTGAGTTAACGAAGATTCCTTGTAAGATTTATATAGACGTTATACACGATTAGGATAAGACACAAGCCTACGTAGCATTCTTAACACTTAGTGCAAGCGGCATTTACCCGATGGTTTTGTTCGTGACAACAATATGGTGCCACCGGATGGCATAGTGTTAAAAGCACTGATCATAGAGAATATAATGAAAATCGAGTTTAATTTTAAACATTCTCTATAGTCCTATGAATGGGCTCACAGATTTTCCCATTTCAAACTTTTGTGAATATTGAATTTGAGGTCTTTAATGGCATTATACTATTATTCAGGGATGGACAAATTCATTACGTAGATAAAGAGTTTTGAATAACGAATAAAAGATGAAAAAGTACTTAGTCATTTTTAATTGTTTAAACGTGGAAATTCTAATTTCTATAATGAAGTAATAACTTCTTCTTGCATGAATAGTCACTTAACAAACAATTATTTAGTCTCATTAACTGTTTAAAGGTCAGAATAACGCTTTTAGATACTGATGCTTCTCAATATGTATTATATGAATAAAATTATGCCCAATTCTATTATTATTGGTATGGTAGTTTCTACACTGGTACTGGTCTGTGTGGTGTGGTCAGTCATTCTTAATTTCTTAATCGTTAGGCTTACCAGTTAAAGTTTTTGGTTATTGACTATGAATTGAAATATGAGTGGGATATATTTTAATAGTGAAGTACCAAGCAACATGCATCGGTGTGTCATGTAACTCCTAACGAGTTAGCTATAATGCTGGTGAAACATTGAGATAATATTTACAATAGATTTAAGATGTGAAAAATGCTCTTATTATCAACAAAAATTTATATATCTGTGCAATATTTTGTCTAATCACTAATTTACCACTATATTCATATCATATAACATAAGAAATTCTTTACCATAAGTCACATCGCCCATAATGACAGTTTCAGCACTTGTAAACTCCTCTATAATATCAGCTATTGTTGTCGCATACATTAACAATCCTTCCGGCATTTGTAATGCAACTCTTCTGGCTTTTGCTTCTTTGATTCTCCATACTGATTTGTGGATTTCAAAATTATAGTTACTAGGTAATGCAGCAATAGCTGCGTTTAATAATGGATGATTCAAGATTTCCTGTGGAATCTTATTTACTTTAACTGGTGCTTTAAAAACTTTACGAAGTGACTTTGCTTTAACTATCACAACAGAGTTACACTCCTCAGTCATAATTGTAACAGTTTGTTATAGTTTTATTACAATTATGGTATTTTATTATACCTATTCACGCTTCACTACCTTTTTAAACCAACACTGTCTATTTACATTATAATGCTTATAAAAGCATGTTATATACACAGTATAGAATTCATAGGTTAAATATACTTTTCGAATGTTTATTACTTAGAATAAAAAGTTATTATCTCGTATTTACAAAGTCCTATGTAAGTGTACACTTCCCTTTAAGTAACCCAAATAAATACAGGATATGACCCATCCTTCCTTTGGAAATTGAACAAATCTCTGGACGTGATAGAGCCGATGGTGATGCCCTCTAATATACCATCATATACAGGGTATAGACATATAACAGAGTATCAGAGCTGAATAACTTTTGCTCCTGAAGTACAGAGCTGCACGGAGTCTGTGCGTATATATTTGCCGAATTCGCTAATAGAGCCAATTAAATAGATTGCTCAGCAGGAGTAGCTAGCGACTCTTTAAATGACAAAGCAGGCGGCTTATCTCTTGACCCTAGCAACGAGCGATTCACCCTGTATGTGTATACTAGGATGACCATTCGTTCTGGATTTTTCGGGACAGTCCCGGATTCCAGTTTTACGTTCCGCATAGATACGCATTTTTTAATTGTAGTTGTATTTGTTTCATTAAGTGTAATTTTTTTTTTGTAAAATTTTCGCTCCCCCTTCTTAACAGGCTCAATGTCCCGGGATTGCACCGCAGAAATAATGGTCATCCTAGTCTATGCTGTAAACTGATCATAGAGTATAATGAACTCAGAAAGTTCTCTCGTTTTGGCTAGTGACTATTTCAAAAAGTCTACTTGATAGTCGGAGTGGGATGGACAACTATTACCACCGACGTTCAACTATAATAATGAAACTGAAATTTTATATTGTTTGTTCATATAAAATTGTAGTTGCCTTGCGATATACTTTTACTCATATATGCGACAAACCATAAATGTACAAGTAATTTTTATATCGACAAACTGCAAATTCATTTACTTCGCATTAAATAAAAATATTTAGTAATGAATATCTCGTATGTTAATACATGTATTTAGTATATCATGTTACTAGATATTTAATTTATACTGTTATGCTGGAATTCATGAGAATCTAAAGTAATAACAATCAAGAGTTTCTTGTAGAAAAGATAAGACACAATTTATTTTTGTTCATATACAAAGTAACGTTAATTTCATGAAAGGTAAAAGTAAGTGTAATGTTAATACTAAGGTTGAATTATAAAATGGAAGTAAAATTTTCACGAATGTTTTAGATGTAGCTACATTATTAAATATCAACAAAACTTGTTAACAATGCTATTTGTCACTTTTCTATCTGTACATTATTATAAGAAATGAAAGTACTAAACGGATGAAGTCTATTAAGTCAACCTGAGACTTTACACTGTAGCCTTTTGTGAAAATCATTTATACAGAATTTCATATTTCACAAGCTATATGTACGTGTATGATGTGAATGTTTTTTCGTCTATGTAGGGCAAAATGCAAAATTGACAAGTGATGTGTCTTAATTTACAATGTGTATCGCTAAGAGTAATGTAACAGTAACCCTGCAGTTTTGTTTCCAGCCAAACTACCAAAATAAAAAAAAAATTATAATAGTAATAGAATTTATCAATATGTGTAAGTGGACAAAAGCAAAAATAATCAAATTCAATCAACTCTATGTGATGACATAATGCGAAAAATATAAAAATTGTAAAGAAATTCTATAATATAAAACAGTATAAAATGTGCATGAAAATTACTGTTCAAATGAAACAAAGAAATCGATTGAAATGCATGCAAACTTAGTTTGACATATATATAAAAAGTGTAAATAACTTCTCTTCATTATATCATGGAACAAAGTATTTTGTTGTGTCAAAAAAGATAGAAATTCATGTTCTTTTTTTTTTTTTGAAGTAAGTATTGGAACAGAAATTTTTTTACTTAAACTAATGATAGATAATGTTAAATCTCAACACAATCCTCCTGTTTGTTGCTGATAAACTTCTATTGTGTCTCCTTCTTCCATTTCAAGAGTTGTTGGGGTATCTAATTCATTTATAGGTTGTCCATCAAATCTAAATCTTACTGCTGCAATTGCCAAACCCTATTCAAATGCAAGATCTTCATTACAAAAATAAAAATTTAAAAAAACATACAAAGAAAGAATTGTTATGTTGTTACTTTTACTAAGTGCAGAATTATACAATCTCAAGTTGCCAAGAATATAACAATAAAAATACATCAGACAATGATACTTACCACCCGATCACAGTAGGCATTCATTAATTTTCTGAGTGGTGTGTGTTTCTTAATTTTAAATTGAACCACTGCACTATCCTGTCCCAATACTTTTAAATTTATGTGCTCTGACTCTGTTTTAGTTTCCTGTAAAGAAGTATAATCTTAAACTATCACTCATCATCGCAACATTGGTTGTGAGGTTATAAAGTGTTACCTTTTTCTCGTCAGACATGTTCACAATTTACGACAAATATACTGTCGTATCAATGATTAATAATAAAATTGTCACAAATTAAGTGCCAGACAACACGCCGGACTATTCTATAATCCTTACAAACAAACGCGCAAACGAGTAACTCGCAACAATCCCGCTCCTACCTTTATAGCTATAATCACAACGTTCCCATCTTACCAAGTAGCATAGTATCATAGAAAGTTATTGGTATACCTAGGGTTGAATCGATACCGCCAAGGTATCGATACTTTTACTCATTGCTGGAATTGTATGAAGGTATCGAAAGAGAAGTATCGATACCTACGGGTATCGCATTATATTTTTCTAACCTTGATACCTAACACAAAAGTTATTTATACCTTGAGAAAAAATAAAATACAGTGCCATTCGTGTATCCTATGTATGTACAGTTGTTTGTATAGTGTAAAGAAAGTGAAAAGTTATTGATTATTGAATACAAATTTACAAGTAACTCTTTTATGTTAATATGGTTTATAGTTTATCAATCTTAGATTATTAATATTGGATAAAAAATTGACATAATATGTATTGAATCCAATGATTGGCATTCTTGCAGAGCAGTACGGGTCATTCCATATAAAATCGGACACACTTCTTAGTGATATATAAATGCATCATTAAAGATGTTTGAAAATTTGTTAAATTGTTGATTTTAAAGTTGTGTGTAATATACAGTGATTCCTCGATGAATACGACACGAGCAACGGCGTTATTCCCGCCACTGGTAATCAATCAAATCAGAGTAAGCGAAAGCTAAGTAGAGGCTCAGCTTCGGGTAAAAAATAAATTTATGAGGGAAGCTGAAAACCTTCCCGCTTTGCCATGAATGCTCCGAAGGGAAACAGAGTACGTCGCATTCATCGAGACATTACTGTAGTGTTAATCTTTTCCAATAAATCATAACTGTTGGACTAATAAACTGTTGAAAACTAACTTGATGTGTGCTTACAGTGGAGACATACGGGTACCTAATAAAAATTATTAAAAATAAGTAAAGTCCTTTTTTTAAATATATTTCTTATGGGAAATGAGAAAATTTTTGTTATTGTATATGACACATTCATTTAGTATCCCACATAAATGGTATACAATCTTTTCTTTCACCTTTTATAAATTTCCTTAATTACACAATAAGATTTTTCATAACCCATTGATCTTTCCAATACATAAAAATTTTCTTATATCTTTGGTGAAAATTTTCTCATGACATCTCATATTATCTGATTTCATTGAGAAAATATGAAAAAACAAAGACATTTTTCATATTTTCTCTATGAATATTGATTGACTTTGTAAGTATTCATTTTTTATTTAAAACACCCGCCATAGTACGCCATATTGAATTTTAAGTGTCCCATTTTCGCAAATTAACTGTGGCGGCGCCAAGAACACTGTTCGATTCGTTAACACGGAAGTGTCACAGGTATATTCAGCGATTCAGGTGTATTCCGTGATGATTGTGATAACCGTGATAAGTGTGGTAACTTGTGTGGCTTTGTGAAGTTTTCTTTGACAATATAATTGAATTATTGATTAATTATTTCAAAGGATGGATACTGTGCGACCGTGCGGTTGCAAAGGAATAAGATCGTGTCTTCTTTGTGAAAAGGAGTATAACATAGCAAAACCCGATTTGAAACTTCAGTTAGAGGTTATAATTAACTAAGAATTTACAGTACTTTTTGTATTAAATGAATTGTAGAAAGTTTATTCCCAGTTAAAAACTTTATTTTTATTGGACGTAGAACATTTATAATTCATGTGTGTAAATATTTTATAAGAAAGATATATACATAAAATATCTTCTAAGAGTAAAAACGAATCTTTAGAATATATTCATTTTCTTATTGACTGCGTAACAAAGAATTTTTACATTTAATGTTCAGCTGAATCTAATTTTCATATAACGATATATCGAATATGAAATTATTTTTAGGCCATTCATGTTTCATTGTTGTACATTAAGGCAACAGTAAACAATAAGTCACATTCATCAGTAAAATATAAATACTAAAGTATTATTATCTTATTCACCTGAGTAAAAGGCATATATGAACATATTCAGTTAATAATATAGTCAAATACAAGCATTTTTTACATAATCATCCAAAGAATTTAAAATATCAATACTACATTCAATATTTTCATGTATTCTTTATTTATTAATAAAACTGAATGAAATTATTTTAAAGCTGCTGTTGATACACATCATTAGACTGCGGAGTTTTATGCAAAATAAAATTCTATAAAGTAATTCTTGAAGACAAGAACAAAAGTAGGAATTTGTATCTTCGCTTAAGTATGTTATTTAGTGATGATTAAAATATAGAAGTTGTTGCATTTGATGAAAGTTTTGTCTTTTATTGTATTTCACAGAGCTCTAGAATCTATAAATGCATAAAATCCGTAGTCTAGACATCATTAATAATGTACATTCTATCATATTCTAGAAATATTCAAGTTATGTCTACTGTCCACATTGTGATAAAGCATGGCCTGGGTGGGATATTGATGTATATAAAAAGCATCCATATCACCAGGGAAATTCTATACAATTTTCTGGTGTTTATATAAAGGTAATTAATCACTTTTATAAATTCAAAAAATTGTCTGAAAATACTATTAATTATAATGTATGATGGTATTTCTTGGTAATATCATAGAGAAACAGATGATTATTATAAAAAGAAAATTTAAATTTTTGAATAAAAATTTTAATCTCAGGTACTGCTTAAAATAAAATTTTCTTTCAAAGAATTATTTAAGTGCTTTCTTTTCTTTTTTTTGTATTAGTGCCGATGCCAATAATAGTAATATTCCAATTTCTACTCATTTTTCCTATTGTGTTTATTAATTATCCTCATAATTATCTTCAAGTAAATATGCACATTAATAATTCCATTATTTGGAAGGATATGGAGATTAGTGTAGAATTATTTTCGGCATATTTAATACGTTATTACATCCATTTTTTGAATTTTATAAATAGTTGAATTTCTTAAATTCTGATGATATTGCTGTACTGATGAAAGCACTGGATGATATACCTTGGGAAGCTTCACAAAGTGGACGTAGGAAACAGGTATTTCTATTACAGTAATTTACATGTATTTATTATTAAATTAATTTATGAAATTTGAAAATCATAACAAAATTAATGAAATTAGCATTAAAGAAGAGAAGATAAAACAATTGTTTAATTTACTGAGTTTAGAACTTCGGTCCAAAATGTAATTTCAAGAGGAAAAAGCTACGATTGGGTTCCTTTAATGGTTTTCCACAATCTACTCACTTTGTACAACAGAAGTTCTCAGAAATTGCTATACTTCAGGATTTTCAAACAGTAGAGCAATGTACTCTAGAGTACGATCCATTACGAGGAGCCTCAATAGATCCACATATTGATGATTGTTGGATCTGGGGTGAAAGAATAGTTACTGTCAATGTTATGGGTGATTCAGTTTTAACAATGACTCCTTACCTTGGTCCAGATACAAAATATAATTTAAAATACGTTGCTGAATATTCAACAGCATACAATGACTTGAGATTTATTGAAAACAGTGAAAATGGAGATGTGCCAAATATATCTGTAAGGTTACCAATGCCAGAGGGATCTCTTTTGGTTCTTTGTGGTGCTTCAAGGTAAATACCTAAACTAAATATTTATGCAATTTTTTATTCTTTTAGAATAATATACGGAAACGATATTTAAATAGTAATTTATTTATTCTATTATGCGTTTTATTATATTAAATATGCAATACAATTATCAGTTAAGTTTACGTTTTCCTGTGCTTTACATATTTGCATATAATATAAAATTCTTTGCCTAGTGATAACTTAATGTGGGTAGTTTTATGTACTTATTCTTACTACCTAAAATAAATATCTTGTATAAGTGATAAATATCCAGATAAGTATTTAATTTAAATTCTGTGCAGAAAATTTAAAAGAAGTATTTTACAAAATTCATGAAGTGAAAAATTGACGAGAACTCATTGTTTGATTGTTATCTGTAAGTAATTGGTACATTGGTTAAATAAATACTAAAACTCCAGTTCTTTTTATAGGTATAAATGGGAACATTGTGTCTTGAGGGAAGATGTAAAATCTCGGCGAATTTGTTTAGCCTATCGTGAACTAACGCCTCCTTATTTAAATAATTCGTCGAATCACGAAGAAGTCAAGAAACTTTTACAAAGAGTTTCGATCTTTCGATGAAATTGGAAAGTAAAATGTAATTATAATTTTTTCCAAAGAAATGTACAATGATAGAATATTAAAAGACATTTAATTACATTTACTATTGTATATTATAGAAATATATTTAATCTCATGCACATTATCTACAAACATAAATTTATACAATTATAACATATCTGAAATTGAAATTTGAAAGTTTGAATCTTGGAGGTAGAAAGGTCTTTAAGAAATTTGTAAAAGTTAAAATAAACAGAACGTGAATTACAAACAGAATATGGTCAAAGTTAATTTCACATGATAAAATAAAAGTTAAATATAAAAGAGGTATTTTTCCTTAAAACATTTGAGTGCCACGCAGCGTGATCGCGTTGGTCAGATTCCATGTTGACAAATGCCACTGCACTAAATTTTTTTGTTTTCGATTTCGGCAGGTATATTATAAAAAAACAACATCTTAGCACTAGTTTATACGAAACGAAACAAGCGCGATCGCGCCGCTTGGCACTTTTCAACAAAGTTTCTGCAATGACCCCTGGCACTCAAACGGTTAAAATAGGTAGAGTACATTCTTCGCAAATGCTCGAAACTCGTGGCCGCTTTGGAGTAGTTATCGTATAGAGACACGAGTTCTGCACTTCATAAATTTGGGACCAAGACTCGGTAGCTTGTCTTTATATTTTGCCGGCAACGATGGTCGAGACAGCCGACAAAGATTAAAAACCTGCGTATCGGTGAAACAACGTTAATACAACGATGAAATTTTTTTATGTTTGGTTTTTTGTTAATGAAAATTTCATTGCCACGTATGTGAGATTTTTCTGATTAAAATAATACCAAAGAAATTTAGATCACATTTATGTATTTCATGTCTCATTTTCTTTCATTATTGCTTCTGATAAATTATAAATGATCGATCAAACTCCCATGTCGAGGAACCAACGAACGCTCGAAAACGTTCTTTGAAAATACGCACGTTAGTTACTTGTTATTTAGCGCGTTTCTAAAATTGAAGGACCCACGAAGAATACACACAATTTTTCTGTGACATGTGTAATTATTGTAATGCAAATGTAATGTTTAAAATAAGTAAATATCATATTAGTGTGAACATGACCTCAAGTAATTACTATTATAAATAATTTACAATATTGTACTCCTTCATATTACTCTAATTTATAACGCACTAGAGATACTACAGTGTTATTATTTTAAATGTGTCTAACAATCCGTGTTAATATTATAACTTATGAGAAGCGGTAACGAACTGAAACTGATACTTTTATACTTACATATTAAATAAGTAAATATAATTCAAATTGTGTCACGTTTGGTCTTATTTTAACTAGAAAAATCTCATCAATATTTTAATAAAATTATCATTAAGAAAGAACCAAAAATAAAAAATTTGTATTGCGGCATTATTATGTTACCGATACGAAGGCTATTTATCCTTTTTCGACTCCTAAACTTTCCGTCATCGGTTCGTGAAAGAAAAGCCGGTAGCGTGTTACATAAACTATCTTGGCTGCTTCCAAGAAGGTATCCGTTCAGTAGTAGGGATAAAGCGGAAGCATTTAACGTAGGGATCTTTCCGAACATTTATAGAGAATTTACTGTACTGTATTTTAGAAGTCCAGAAAGATATATAGAATAATGTTTATACTTATGAAATTTAAATACACAATAAAGTAGGATTATGAGGAATAATTAAATAACAGAATAGTAAAAAATTTACAATATGAAGGACAATATTATACGGTATTTTTTAAAGGATCAGAAGACATATAAACAACAGGGAAAGTGGTAAAAGGGTCTGCTTTTCCTAATGGTTGATATCCATTAACTAAACTTTCTCTTAGTTCCCATCTACGTCGTTCTCTTTCTGTTTTCTGTTTTCTAATTGATTTGCCTAACATGCAGGCAAACATTATTCCAGTCAACTGAAAGTAAGAATGGTCAGAATTAATTTTTCAATTTTGAAGTAGTAGAAATTTATTAAATTTTGTAAAATATTTTGAAGAAGTAACAGTATAATAAGCAGCAGATACGAAGTAAGGGTAAAAAGGGGAACTAATTATTTTGTTAATTTGAAGAATAGGTGTATTAAATGTTAAATTATTGAACAAAAAATGGAAACGTTGAGTTTTTTTCTTAAATCTTGTGTTGTTACAGTAAGAGGGAATAAAACAGAAATCATACCTGAATGAGAGCAATGGCCACAGCTCCAGTAGCAATGTAAAGTGCACTTCTATGAATGATAACTGAAAGATGCCTGATACAGCCAGTCTGATGAGGAGTACATGTAATATCATAACTATTAGAAATGCATGTAACGTTTTCATTAACGTCCGCCCAAGGTCGACAAGATTTTGGTAGGTCAATGTTTTTCTCCTTCATAATTTCATCCCAGTCTGTATATCCATTGTATCCACAGCAGTAAAGCTACAATTATATGAGAGATTGAATTACATAAAATGTATACTAATACAATAATTTTTATGAATAATGTCGATATTATAAAATAGTATGCTAAAATAAAAAATTCTTATTAGTAGTTTTGATTAGATCTTAAATGTTACCCTGGACTGTAGAAAATCAATGGCATCTGTGGCTTCTGCATTAGTTCCATATTGATGCATGGTTGCATTAATATTTTCAGCTAGGAGACCTTTTATGTCATCCTGAAGGGCATAAGCTGCAATTGCAGCAGCTAACTCCAATATGAGAATTACAGAAAGCGATACTGCAAACTGGAAATGTATTTATTTTTACAGATTTTTTATGTAATAAGCCATGCAAGGTATGTTGTATTTTACCACCACAAAACACAATTTAATAGCAAATTAAAAGGAACAATGCATTTACTTAAATAAGAAGTAGAGAAATAATATGCGTTTGAAATCAATTTCTACATAAAATATTTTGCAATAGTTATACATCAGATATTAAAATTAATTGCAGGATACCTACCACAAGAACCATACAGGTACTTTCTTTAAGAGCTCCGCAACATCCTAGAAAAGCTATCACAAATACTAGGATTCCTACTACGATTAGAAGAGTTGCTGGAGAAAAGTATTTTGGATCGAGAAAATGAGAGAAGTCTTCATAAACTGCGTAAATTGTTGTTCCAACTGATATTATCATGATCCCAGTCAACTGTAATATTAATAACTATATGAGCATACGACATTACTTTGAAAATGAATGACATATTCGTTTAGCGAATGTAGCGGTAAACGAAAATGGTAAAACAAGAAAATAAACATTTTTTGAAAGAATATTTTACATATAAACTATGCAATTAAATGAATGCAAAACTGTTATCATTTTTATTTTTTTATTTTTTTAATAAGAATTTTATGAAGCTTAGAGATAATAGATTTATAGAAAATGGTACATAAAATTTTAATAATCTATATAATACAAGAACATCAGTATTTTGTGTGAATGGTATAATAACAATAATGATGTAAACAAGTAAGTTTTCAACCAGGGATGATAAAAGAACCGAACCGCTTCCAGAAGAGTACCGCTCTAAGAACTTACTGTTGGTTCGTTTGTGAGAACCGGCTCTGCCTTTAAATGCTAATCTTAGAACCGGTAATGTATCCGATACTAGAAGAGGTTTTTCGGAGTTTTTGATCCTGGTCACCTGTCTGGCGGTTCTACAAATCTGATTCTCGGTATGTGTGAACTGTGCGTTGACCGTTTCTTTTCGAGTAGCAAGAATTGAAATAGTTAAGGGGTTAGGCCACCCTTGAGGCCCTAAAATCATTCAACTTTGAGTATTTATTACAGGTAAGTAATTCTTACAAAACTTAGCATATTTCCCTAAAATTTACGTATAACAATGTTAATTGCAAAAAGAGTTTTCAATATTTTGCAAAATCCTACATAGTTCACAGCAGAATGTATCAAAGAGTATTCAGCAAAAACGTCAGGTGAATCGGTTAAAAACTGTAACAGCCAGTTCAGACGATACGGTTTTTTGATCGCTTCTGTAATTCTTTCGAAACGATTTAATTTATATATGTATATAAAAGATTAAGTTAAAATATGTATGTATATGTCTGTTACGTAAAGGCTTCTATACCGCTCCACCTATCCGCATTAAATTTGGTATTAATATTCTCCGATATCCTAGAAAAACGACTGTGGTGGTTCTCACACACCAACCACCCCTAAGGTTCACCCCCTCTTTAGGGAAACATTTTTCTGCCGAATGAAACATTAAAATCATAGGCCATCTATAGGTTTTTGGGGTTGCTGATTACGATTCTGAGGTGAAAATTACATAATTCAAAACGGCAAATCCAATGTAACAACTACTTTGGGCTAAATTCAAGATTTTTCATTTAATTTGTTGCAATATACCTTAATACTGTTTGAAAAGAAAGCAATGTAAGGCTATAAAGATGTGTACACGTGTAATTAATATACCCGTGTTTCAGTCCGTGTAGTTTTTAGTACACGGGTACACGGGTAGTCTAATCCATGGGTACACGGGTATGTACTGAATTACAGGGGTACACGAGTATTGAAATACACAAGTACGAGCCATTCCACGTAAAAACACACGGGGAATTTCGGTATATATTCCAAACCTGGGCACTTCTGAAACTATTTCATTTGAAATATTATTTCAAATAACATGTTACTTTATTTCATAATTATTGCCATGCCTGTGATCACGACTGAAATAACATTATTCGAAATATTATTTCAAATATCTTGTTATTTTATTTTCTAATCATTTGAAATAATTGTGAAATTGTTCTTCCAAATTATATCAGGTGACTAGGTCTGAGTTTGGTTTATTGGCCTTTTGCCTGAAGAGTAACACCCCTCTTCCATCTTCCACACCAGTAGAACAATTATTTTGTCTATCGCGGCAATATTCGATAGGCTCATGTAATAATTTCTCACGGATGAGCTTTTTGAAGAGCAGGTTCTGCTTGAAGCAATTGCTGTAAAGATTTCTTAAAAGTGAGGCGGGCGCGAAGGCGGCAAGTTGCTGCCCTCGCGGCTGTCCCCCTTCTCGGAGGTGGGATCGAAACGGGGGGCCCTCGGGCACCCTAAACCGCCTCATTCCTCTTCTACATACAGCGGTGCAGGTTGCACCGCTGTAAGACAAGGGGTTGCCCCGCGGGTGGCGCGATTCATAGGGTCACAGCCGCAATGACCGTCGCGTCACCCGCGTGACAAGCGGGCCGAGGGGGTGGTACTGGGGGTACCACCTCCTTTCGCGGTCGGCCCACAAGAAGACAGCGTCGAGTGTTATATGAAGCCGTAATACTAACAAGGAGTGTATTTTAGGTGTCCGCCTCCGATTGCTTTGGTTTTCGGATACGTTTTAGAGGACCGAAAAATAAGAGACATGTATTTTTTTATAGCGGCCCGTTTTCATATTTAGGGGGTGAAACCACCCCTCAAAGTTTCGACAAATAAATATACCAATGGATTTGGAATTAAGTGCTCGTTATTTTATGTCATTACGCAAATTTCAATAAGTTGTAAAATAAAGTTATAACAAATTTTTTTGTTATAAACAAATTGTATTTTTGACAATTTGTTAACACCAGTTTATTGTACATAAAAAACCATGAAAGCCACCAATTGAAAGTTTTCATGTATCTCCTCTGGTTTTCGAGATAGTACTTCCGGGTCGAAACTTTGAGGGGTGGTTTCACCCCCTAAATATGAAAACGGGCCGCTATAAAAAAATACGTATATCTTATTTTTCGGTCCTCTAAAACATATCCGAAAACCAAAGCAATCGGAGGCGGACACCTAAAATACACTCCTTGTAAGTATAACTATATATACAAAATTTGTATTGATTCGGTTGTAAACCTGACTTGAAAATTTAAACGTGTTTTTCTCAAAACCACATTTTCAAAATCGGTGACCAAAATATCTCCAGAACGGCTGCACCGAACTGATTCAGCTTTGGTAGACTCATTTTATATACAAAATGTATACAAATGTATAAAAATCTAATGCCTGATCGTGGCTTTTTGTATTTCATTGCGTAGTTTTTATTTTATAGATAAAAAATGAACGATTTTTTAGGCGAAAATCGATACTTGAACAGCCACCATTTTGTCGTAATTAATTTTTCAGGATAATGAACGATCGGGCATTAGATAATTTAATAACTAACTAAATTTGCACGGATTGTTTATTTTAGATAAACGAACTCGAAGTTGCAGTGGTCACCGCAAAACGCCTAAAATAAAAACGCTGCCGGGAGATCGCTGATATTTACCCTATTTATACATATTTTGCATTGACGAAATTACTATAAGCACTTTAAAATGTACATTTTCGAATACAATGACGTACATTTAAAAAAGTCTTCAAGTTTTTTAAAAATAAATTCCGAAAGTACATGTCTTTTTTCGTGGTTGCAGGTAGGCATAACCCCTTAAAGAAACCGGAATATTACCTGTTAGAGAAGAAATAGCACATATCAGCAATTGATATCACAAAAGACTTGAAACCCACAAAAACTGTCTAGCAACGAATCTGACACACCATTCTAACGAAGAATACAAACTGCGTGGATATCACTTTTTATATCTACCAACTAGGTTCACTTAATGACTTAATGTAACAGATTAATATGTAAATCGGCATCGCTTTGTGACGCTTGATGTTTAATATTTTCCCTTGATAGGTTGCACAAGAAGGAAGTGAATAATACAAAAATTCTTAATTTTCGATTTATGTTGTTCACGGGAAATCACACCTTCCTCGATAAAACTGCACTTTGTGTGCGAAACGCGTTAAACTCCTTTCTTTATCATATTACACTCATAACCAACGTAATCACAGAGTCCCCAGAATCGACAATTTGCGAAAAAAGTCCAGTTAAATAGCAGAAATAGTGATTCAGACATTTCGAAACGGTATTTTTCTAAAGTTATTGCTCTTATTCTCAGGTGTTAAAACCCACAAGCTATACGAATTCCTCAATATCTAGTAGATGGCAGAAGAAATACCTTTAGGAATTGGTACGCATATTAACCAATGCAAATGTTCAGAATCAGTATAGCTTCGAAAGATGATGATTTATACCGTGGCGATTATGAGAATTTTGGTAGTCGACCGTGTTAACTAAGATCTTGTGAGTGTTCCACTTTGGCACCCCTGAGGGCGATTTCGAAAAAATTTGCTTGGGCTCACAACGAAAACTCGCGATAGGAATGGGTTAATTGGCCGCCTGTTTTCTTCGAAACGATTGGAAATAGGAAAGAATGAAAATGTGGGTAAAACGGGTGGAAGGTATCGATGAGTTGCGACGTTGCAAGCTGTAATAATCTGCACGGTAATAATTCAACGGGGTCGACCTCGCCCAGCCGATATCGATCCTACCGGTTGTCCGAACGACGCCGTAGAACTATGATCCACGTCCATATTGAGGGTTGACCTAACTTGTTGAATCTCAGGGGCGAGTGTGGTTATTCTCGTCACCTTTCTGCATTCGGCCAGCAGAAAAAATTCACGTTGTTTAGGTTATCGTCGCCGTCGACCTCGACCGCATTTATTGTCCTCGTTTTCTTTGTTACACTTGAACAATGTATCAAGTCGTTCGTTTTTTTCTCGAATGTGGCGTAAGTCCAATTTTGAAAAGAAATAAGCCAAAGCTGTTTTTAATTGCAGATCGTTGTCGTTTCTTTTACTATACTTACAGGCTGTTCCAAAAGTTTCCGAATTGAAATTAAAACAGCAGTTTTCGGTAAAATGATGATGCTATTCAACATTAAAATCAAAAAATAATTTTCTTTTAAAAATATATACTGTTCGCAATAACGATAGATATTCTAGAAATCGCACTGATCACTCTTCTTCGAGATGGTGAAACCGACCACGGTCGAAACTTTTTGTATCACGAGTCATGAGTTTATCCAACACGCAAAAGGTATCTCATAGTTTGATTATCCATCGTGTTCACCTAATACAGGCGTCGGCAACCTATGACCTGCGGGTCACCAAATGATCCATTTGATAATTTCAAATGACTCAGTTGAGTTCCGCAAATAAAGTATGTATAATATATAAAAATGAATTATAAAACATAAACATGAAACAAACACTTTGGGAAAATATAAATAATAGATTAACATTGACCCCGCGGGTCATAGGTTGCCGACGGCTGGTCTAATACAACTACAGCAAACTCTTAAATTGGAAACGAAGACAAAGAAACAACAATCTAAAATCATTTTGAAATTCATAGGGCTTCTTCGATGACTACTTTTTCCAGCATACTAAAGAAGAATTACCAAAACTACTTCGAGTGTTTGTACAATTATCATGAACCATATACCACTTGAGAAGAAAATTACTTCGAATAATTGTTGATGAAAAGCATGCATACCATACAAAAAAATTGCTGTTCGAACTACAATTTGGAAACTTTTCGGATAAACCGTCTATGTCAATCGGAAAATGCATGGGCTCAAAAACAACTACACAATAAAGTCAATAGTGAATGCATAAACAAAAAATACACATACAATTGGTTAAAGAACGGACACTTGTTTCCTAAAGCGCAAAGCTTTACAATAGCAATCCCAGATCAAATTGTAGCAACCAGAAATTACAAAAAAATATATTCTTATAGATATCAATGTGCGAAACGAATGTGCCACAAATACAAACAACAGGGGGATGCAAAATACTCTACTAGACTGTAGTCAAAATTATGCAAGAAATAGCACGTAATCGTCGCCTTATGCACCAGACAACACACCATACTATACACACACGCCCACAAGCATATTAGAAAATCCGGAATATAAACTATATTGGGATTTACCTTTACATATAGATGAAACAATAGCAAATGACAGACCACCTGCATTTGAAGATTTGAACCAAGGTAACAGACTTCAACATAAAGCAGAAGTAATAACATATCTAATAGATATAGCTATTGTGAAATCTAAAACAACTCCATTTCTACCAAACAGTATAAAACACAATATTAAAACCAGTCATTCTGAAAACGTACAACACAATCAGAAATATCTTGAATAATTAGACAAATCTATATAAACCAGATTATGTCTCGGTTAATGCTCGACAAAAATTCACTACTGCGGGCACTCTGAGAAAGCACTCTTTATTACACTCACAAACAAAAGTGAGTGAAAATTTCATAAAAATCGGTTAACATTGCTAGGAGATACAAACGATTAAAAATGTTGAAAATCGTAGTTTTTCGCGACTTTTGACCTACAACTAGCATATCTAAATATTTTTGCATCTTTCGATGCCTGTTACTCGTTTTCGTACTAACCGATTTCATTGAAAGTTTCGGTATGTATATAACTAACATAAATCTTCGATACGTATTTATTAAATTGTCATTATAGCCTCAGATTAAAAGGTTGTAAAAAATGACCTTCACTATTTTCTTCGCGATTTCAACCAATTGTAACCTTTTCAATTTTTTTTACACATCATTTAGTAAACTAATGTCTCCAACTTCACAAAAGAACTTTTGGACCAATCTGAAAAAAGTTGTTTCGTTTTAAAGTGTGTACGAATACTTTTGACATCGACTGTACGTTCGTTTGTTGCGTGGAATTAAAGTTTTTAAAATCATTTTCATGCGTGTCTGGAAATATATGTGCGTACATTCACCTGCACTGTCATAGACCCATCTACGGATGCATTCATTTATAGGTACGCGGGCTTATCGTTTATCAAATAGCACGTTTATCTACCTCTTATCAATACATTTATCTGTTCAAATGAGACATTTCACGAGTATTGTAAATATATTGCGACGTACTTACGAGCTACATAGTACGTATGTCGTATAGTATGTATGTCGAGTCATTGTACTCGTGTAATAATCGTTCAATCGTGTGTTTGTATTGTTTGACCTCGAGTCTCTCGTAGGTAAGTACACTACGAACACGTAAATCGAATAAACATCACGACAGTATATATAGTAGACGTCTGTAAATAAATGCAAGGAGTAACGGAAGTAAAAAACACAGTGGTTGTCAAAATGATGCTTGTAACATGAACGCAGTAAGAAAAGCAAATGTTATTTGAAAGTGTAATCAATTTATCGTGAAGATGTACATTATACGAAATGATGGAAACGATAAGAACGGATATAAACGATTTATTCATTTTTAATTATTTTTCGTTATTATGATTTCTGTATTTCCTATTGCAACTTGCAACACTTACATTAGATACACTATTGTACATCGACAAGCAAACTCGGTTTCCGCTGAGGGAAAAGTAAGGTAGGTGAAGGGCCTCCTACCATTTAGCTTTCGGAGTTACTGAATTTTATGCCAAATTAACATTCGGTTTAACATTTATTTCAGTACGTGAAATAAATTTACTAAGTGGTAGGAAACTTTTCTTCTACGCCACTTTTTCCTCTAGTGGAAGTCCAGTTTGCTCGAGAGGATACCAGATCTGAGAAAGATAATATATTAATATTTATTATTTATTTATTTCTTAATTTGAACGTAGTTTTGTATTTTACAAATGTTTTAGAAATAAGTGTTCGTGAATGTGAATGAGAATGGAACTCCTCGGATAAAATCAGCTGGACCAATGCGGCAATTGTAGCCTTATAAATAGTAGTTAAGTAATTTATATCTAAAAATATCTATTTCGTAATTTCCCTCGACCATCACTATATGTTGTGAATATATGAAAGGTAATGTATTAGGAAACGGCCAAGAAAATGATAGGTGCAACCGACTGTTGCATGCACGAAAATTGAACTTTGATTATTAGTCATACGTAGGAGCTGTTATCTTGATACGGTGACAATCGACAAGACTGATGACGATGTAACGTCGACGAAACGATTCGATGTTCTATATTCTATGGTACAATAAAACTCAATAAATCGGTAATAGAATACATGAGCTTTGTCAAAAATTGATTTACAATAAGACTGACAATGTACGTGAATATCAAAATTGTCGAACGAAGCAACGCTTGTTTCCATGTACGAATATATTGCAAAAAAGACGTTGGTAAGAAATAACACGTGATGAAATATGAAAGACAAGCGGAAAGAAAATTAACGAATGCGACTACAGACCGCAAAGAGAGAGTTGACTGCGCATAGTAGGTATTTGATGCAACGTAGGCCAACGTCGAGGTGAGTGGCAGCCATTTTGGTGCACGTTCTCCGGGAATCCTCTTGTACGCAGGTGCACTACTGAACAACACTGCTCCTTCTCTCTCTCGAGCCGCGAGGAAGAACCGACTGAACGTGGAAAACACCTAAACGCGATTCGATATATCGCATTATCTACTGATAAAGACGACACACACCAACAGTACACGTAACGCTCGACTGATTACGTATTTCTACAAAAGACGCATTGTTTTTCTCTTTGCGTTCTTCAAAATTTCGTCCAAACAGCAACTAAAAATTACGATTACTTTGTTAATTATTTATTGCGCTCAACAATTTTAAAGTATTATTTGTTAAGTCAAATTAGAAGTGTCAATTGAAATCGAAACTGACGCTTAGTTTTTTGGAATGTTATTAGATTTTAGACAAACGAGGCTTGATTAAAGTACAGATTCTTATAAATGGCGTACGGAACGCGGGGGGAGAGCGTATTTACGTGGTCGAAAGTACGTGTGAGGGGGAAGTGCCTCGCGCGGCAATATGTTTAGTGGCAATATAGTTAGAGTCCACTGTACTGTGAAACCACGAAACATCTCCAATTGTAATTTTTTTAAATTAATTTTTTCTATAACTATGCATTTTGGAAATAACGCTTTACAGATTCGTATTCATATTTCAGAAACACATATTGAAAGTTACAAAATTTTTTACGTGTTGAACAGTGTTATTCAAGTATTGAGCGTTATATAGTGTGAGTCATTTAAATCGATTCCATTATATATTTTCGAATGGAATCATGTCTCCTTTAAAAAATTCCTATAAAAAAATATGAAGCTTTCTGTACCAAAGAACCATCAGTTTGGAAGATATTTCAATTTTAATATTTTGAGGTGGTACTCAATTTCAATACAACTAGTACGCGTAACATCTGACATCTTATGCTTATATGTATGGCATGTCAACAAATTTTGAATAAAATTCTAGAAAAGGCTGATAGATCGTTTACCCAGTTAACCAGAGTTATCTGCAGATATCCGTAAGACATCTGAAAAAAGTAATTGAAAAGATATCCGAAAAAAGTTACTAAAGGGATATCATTCGGATAATGTCAGATACGTGTTAAATAACACCTCTGCTCCCTCGTAGAGATGGTTGAAGATATTTTAGGGACAGAAAAAGGATTGGCAGTAAAGTGACGTCAAATAACGGCTACTCAAAGAGTATTAAATGGTATGAAATAAGTAAGCGGGAAAAAACCAAGCGGCAGAAGCAGTGTGTGTAATTATTCGTTCCATTCTTTATTTTTACGTATTTTACATTTCTCAAAAATATTATTTCTTGCTGGGTATGTTGAATCTTTCTAATTCATATATGTATACATATTGATTGCGTAGAGCAGTGGTGGGCAACTCAGCGCCCACTAAACTGACTGGCGGGCAACGGCATGCAGCGTGCGGGCATATGGCAGTGGTGAGTGAAATGTGGAGTGATCTATCATTTACTTCGCAGACAAATATGTCGTGAATCACAACTCGTGATGTGTCCTGCCTCGTAACCCCTCCACAGGAGTCCGACATCTATCGTATGTCTCAAAGAATGAAAATTTAAACGACAAACGTATGAAACTATTACATATGAAGCTCTGAACATTGTACGGAAGATTTACAAGTTACCAAAAAGGGATTATTTTTATTGTTATAAGTCTGAATAATATTTAAGCCATGTTTTACGGAATTTATGCACATCTTGTTACAAATATATTGTAAACGCGTATATATAAGTAGTATTTATGGCAATTGCTGTGAAATTTATTCAAATACTATTGTAAATTATGTATTTTCTTCAGATTTTTTCCATAAGAAACAGTTAAGTGGTACATATGTGTTGTTTATTAAGCCTATCACTACGACTATCTCATATTTTCCATAAATAAATAAATAGGAATTGGTAAACTTAGTTAAAATGGCATTACAACAAATTTGATGTTGAATTTAGCGCGAAATTTGAGTTTGAAAAAGCGTGGGAAAACTACAAAATCGGGGATTTACTAAAATTATGGTAGTCACCTGGTGGCGGAAATTGGAACTAAATCCAAAACTTCTTAGTTTAGTTCCCGAAATCGCCACCAAACGGCACCACATGTTAGTTTTTGCAGTTTCCCGACCTTTTTGTTAAAATTCTAAAAGTAGTTTCAATTTCTGCCACCGGGTAGCTACCGTAATTTTGGCAAAAATCGATTTTTCAAGTCTCCCGCACTTTTTTAACAATTTTGAGAATGTATTATTTTGCTATTATTTATTGTTTATTATTATTTTTTTGGTAAATTAAAATTAGGAATAGGAGTGTAGATAATTAACTGTTTTTTACTGAAAGATCGTAGAAAAACATACAAGTTACAATGGTATTTCTATAAATTTAATAACAATTCCCTTAAATACCACTTACATATAATATTTTTTAATATCAAGGCACTGTTTTTGCGTGGCTGACACACGATCAGGTTGCCTCTATCTTTTTTGAATAAAAAGAAACATAAATGATTATTAATCTATACGAGTAATACTCTAGTTTAGATTAAAATGTGCGGGAAGTATCAAGAAATCATATATCCTGACGTTTTCTGCCTCGCATTGCCTGCACAGGAATCCGCGGCTACCCGCCATTTGCCCGTACGGGCAGCATGCCCACCAACAGGATCGAGGTCTTGCGCAGACACTGGGGCCGGACCTACCACTCCGGCCGCGGCAATACATGTATCAAGAGTCTAATCTGTTTTGTATTTATCTAATAATAAAAATTCAGTAACTTAGTCATTCCTTACAGTACTAGAATAAAGTAAACTACTTCAATAGCCGAATCGCAGCTGTAAAAGGTTTTTAGACTAATATTATATCTATATATCTGAGGGTGTTTGAATTATAGTTTATCAATTATATGCATAATTGAAAGAAATAATTGAAATATTTTGAAGGGTTATTTCATAAAAACTACTACCAATATGGCAATTGAGGAAAGCTACGAATAATAATTTTTAAAGCATTCTTCATATCCTCTTTAATTTTTTTAGTACAATATAAACTATTTTAACCATTACAATTATTTTGTTATAATAAATTTCTTTATTGCACTTTAGTAAACAATACAAAACCTTTTCACGGTGCCTAGTAAATTGTTGAAATGCTTTCACTTATTTTCATCAGAAATGTCTCATCAATTAGTCAAAATAGTTGTGAAGATAAATAAATAGATATAACATTTCTGTTTTTATTGATGAATGGAAAATAGAGAAGAAAGTATTGATGATAGTCATTCATATTCACTCAATTTCACACAAGATGCATTTCTCTGACAAAACGTATCGAATAAGTTTCAAATCTTTTATTAGATACAAATTCTTTTACCACACTTTGCTCCGACAAAAAAAACATTTGTCTTTCATATTTTATTATACGGACGACCCACGATTGCCATTTCCTTTATTTCGAAATACAAAATCTCTTATTCGTAATATACAATGTTTCGTAACTAAACATATTCATATCACTTCTCCAAGTTATCCTTCGCGGATAGTAATTTTTCAAATCCCCTCAATATTGTCCAATTATATTTGTTTGGTGAACAGATTATTCGTAAAACTCATTGAAAATTTTAAACGCTTTCGTAACTGTTTTTAATCGACCGCGCCAAGTAAATCGAGAACCAAATTCCGACTGCCTGCAAAAGAAACAGAAATAAATCAGATTTAATAACGCACTTATTGAAGTTAATGATGCTAAAGAAAAAGTGTAATTACAAAGAAAACAAAAATGGAGAGAAACGTATATATTTTATGTTTATCTGAAATTTCATTCCGAATAAATATGTCAGGCGAATTACCTGAACAATGGCAATGCCAATGCCAACACCACCGAGTTGTAAAGCGTGAGAGCCGATGAAAGAAAGGAACTTGTGGTAACAGCCCTCGTGATGTAGAGTCGATGAGGAAAGGGTACAATTTGTCGTTCCTATGGCACCCACTTGATTATCACAGCACGAAACCGGCATAGCATTCAAACTGTCGTTCCAGTCAGTCGCGTTAACGGTTCCGCAACAATCAAACTAAAACAATTGATGTTTTATTTAACACTTATTAATAATATGTTAACGTACAACGAGAGAAAAATGTATTCGTATAGTAAAAATGTCGAGACAAAAAGAGCCATAATTCCTACATTGGCGTAACTAGGTAGAATATGGACTGCCCCCCCCCCCCGTCCAAAAGTTATGGATATATATTAAAAAATCATTCTGATTTAGCTTTGGTGGACTCATTCTACATATACGTAAAAATCTAATGTCTGATCATGGCTTTTTGTATTTCATTGCGTAGTTTTTATTTTATAGATAAAAAATGAACGATTTTTTTGGCGAAAATCGATACTTCGATTTTGAACAGCCGCCATTTTGTCGTAAATTAATTTTTCAGGATAATGAATGATCCGGCACTAGATAAATTACTATATTAACTAAAAACGTTACAGTGATCACCGCAAAACGCCTGAAATAAAAACGCCGCCGGGAGATCGCTGATATTTCCCCTATTTATTCATATTTTGCATTGAAGAAATTACTATAAGCACTTTAACATGTACACTTTCAAATACAATGACGTATGTTTACAAAAAGTCTTCAAGTTTTTTAAAAATAAATTCCGAAAGTACATGTCTTTTTTCGAGCTCGCAGGTAGGCATAACCCCTTAAGGACCGTCTACACCTACGACAATTGTTGGCGGACACGAGTCGGCGGTCTGTGAACGGGGTCCCTACAGTGCTACAAAATGCAATGTGTAAGACAAAAAACTTTACCTCACGTTGAAGCTTATCCCAAACGAGAGCAATTTCTGTACTGTTTCGGTACATCTTCATCGTATCAATCATTTTGTCCTGAATGATCGTCGATGCCCTGGCTCTCAAAACATATCCAGAAATACCGCCTGACAGTTCCAAAATAAAAACAATGACCAACAAGGAGGTAAACTATGAACAAAAAACAAAGTAAATAAAATGTACAAATTCGAAAATTCGTTTGTGTAGAGTGTTAGGTATAATCGGATATTAAAATTACTTTCAGAGAGAATTTAGCTATATTGTGTAAAAATTAGATATTCTACCGAAAAAACCTTTTTCGATTGAAAATCATTAGAAAGTTAAAAATGTTCATAAATGAAAGATCTGAAAGCACAATGAAAAAGTACCCTTGATTATGAAAGTGGTGTTAGTCAAAGAAACAAAAAAATGGAGTTTTTCCCTTATTTTATGTTACGTCGATTTATATTTTAATATTACGAAAGAATTTTTAAAACAAAAAATACATGACATACACCATTTTTATAAACACCGGTATAATTCATAAACACGTGAATTCAAGGATCACTTAATCGATTGATCAAATATTTTTGTAGTTATTGTTTTATGCAACATGAATATCTGATACATTTTTGTAGTTCAGTTTAAAATTACTTTTAATTTTAAAGTGCTTTTAAACTATCATAAAATTGTTGATTTGTATGCAAATATTTGATTCGTTTCAAATCAAAAGACGTATACAGCGTACATAATTCGTGGTACAATTGAAAATTAATATCTCGTATAAAAGTTAATAAATATCATAGGTATTTCTAACTAATAACTACAATTGCAGATATTTCTAAATTCATATTTTTCTACACAAACTTACAAAAATAAAAGTTGAACAAACCTGTGTTTCTTCTAAAAAGTTGGAAGTTAAACATGTTCCTTGTCATACATAAAACGTTTCTGTCATAAATAACATATCCTATTACGTTACTAGTTTACTCGTTTAGTTTTAATTGTACGGTAATTATTTCTTATTTATGTTACGTACGAAGACACTCTCGTGACCTCTTAACCCCTTGTCCTGTAACAACGAGTGAGACTCGTGGTAAGAAATTTGGGCCAAAAACAATAAGCACGAGCCTGACTCGTGGTACTTCGTTCGGGAAAATTCGGCTAAACAGCTAAATGGCTCGACGCATGACCGACCGTCTTGTTTATTGTGGCCCGAGCAATCGGGAGTTAGCTGGTAGGACAAGGGGTTAACCCTATCGGGAGTTGGAATGCATCCGGCCAGATTACGTAAGTGCCCACGGGGTGTTATGGCATGACCAGATTTTCTTGGAAAACAGTTTCCTTTGAGGAACAAGCGTGTCCCCCACTACTTTTAAACTGAATTTTTGGGGTATAAAAAGGGACGCGTGAGATGAAATAGCATCAGGTTCGTCCACGACGTCTAAACCATCCTAGTGGCTCCCTGAGATGAAATAGGCTCAGGTTCGTCCACGACAACCTATCCCAATGGCTCCCTGTGATGAAATAGGCACAGGTTCGTCCACATAACAAACTCTAAAAAATAAACTCACCATTTCCTCGGCTCTTGCAGCCGCTTAGCCCTGGCTCGTAACATTTATGTACACATCTTGTTCATTTTACGTTCTGCTCTCAAATACATTTTTTTGTCCCATTAGTTATTTATTATTATTTATACTTGTAGTTCTTATTTTTCTCATTCAGACGCTATTAATTCTTTATTTTTTTATTTATATACTTAGTACTATTTATTTGATTTGTCTAGCGTAACTGACCTGTACATAGCTAGTTGAACTCTTACTGCTGTAATTTTGGTTATTTGTATTTTTAGTTGTACTCATACCTTATGTTATACTTCGATGATAACACACGTTTCGATCTCAAGACAATTCGAGTGTGCCGCCATTCCATAAAAAATATTTTCAAAGCTATTGGTTCATATTTCTCATATTGAATTTAAAGTACTTGTTTCTTTTAATCCTGCTCAAATACTCGTGTTTGTAGAGTAATGAATCGAATTATGTTGAAGGAAGTGCAGTTATATTTACCAGATACATCATCAAAACGTACGCAACTTTTAAGGGCACAAAAACAATTGATGAATTATCTTCAATGAAACAGAAGTTATCAGTCGCCACAACTATGTGATTTGTTCAGTATTGTATTCTTGAATAATTTTCTTGTGATAAACATTGAAATTGTAACAATTTTCCGATAAGAACAAAGTGGTTTTTCTTGTTCATCCTATGATCAATGTCTCGTATGTGATTTTGCTCTACAGATTCGATTCCCACGACTAATTAACACACTTCCAATTATACCAAGAATTAAGTAGTAACGATAATTAATGTTATTAAGTGATACGTTACCGTAATTATCATGCAATAGTTTTCACGAACGGCACCGCAACATCCGAAAAAGGCGATGAAGAAAATAATCGCCCCAATTGCAATGAGGAGTGACGGTACTGACAAGAACTTATTGTCCAAGAAATGTTGATAACTGTGGTAAACTCCGTGAATTACCAGGCCAATGGATAACAAAATTACTCCCGTTATCTGAAATCAACAATATTCGGTCTTGTAAGTAAAACTGAAAGCCCCTCTTCGTGTTGAAAATACAACATATAAGCGTTCAATATTACACCCTTTTGCGGCCCAGAGTATTCTCCGGTTTTCATTCTAACACATGCATCAATATCATTTTATATAATTAATTCCATTTTAATACATAATTCGGTATTATATTTATAATTGTATTCTTAAAAGAGCAAAAGCGACTGTTGTATTATTAAGAGAATATGCCATATGATGTGATAACAAAATTCCGCACACGATTCCAAATTCTTGGCCAACAAGCGTAGATGCATGCAATACTGATGTAATATTATACGCTATTGTAATACATCGTAAATCGTTAAAGTATTAAGTGTACGCAAAATTACTGGCTGTTTTTTCGTAAAAAATATTTATTAATACGTATTGATGAATCGCTACAATATTTGTTAGGCAAAATAGTTCCAACCTCTTTTGTACACTTCACACCATTTCAACCATTTCTACCGTTCCAATTATTGTTTGGGTTGAATTACGCGTCGATAAAATATAATCCCAACACCAACTTGAATGCGACAACCATTTTACATATACAGTGGACTCTAACTACAGACTCCTCTCGATTATCGTCCCAAACTCGGGTCCGCGCCGGTACAATAATAGTAAATGCTTCAGACCCTCGTAAATTCGTTCTTTTACCAAACCCTGAATAAAAGCGGAGGGGCAACAAAGTATGCGCTTGAGAGATTCCACTGCCTCCCCCCTGCAGTGGAGGGATAACGCCTGGACAATAATCGTGTAGAACAAGCCAGACGATAATCGAGAGGAGTCTGTATATTGCCATAGTCGGGGCTGTAGGGGAGTAAAATCGCAATGAGTTTGGAGCCCCCTCGTGAACTTTTTTCTTACGTTATTTGATTAATGCTGAAAATTTGTGAGGCTTTAGTTAACTTAATCAGAAATGAGAAAATCGTAGTCTGGCAGCTTGGACACGTTGTGTTTGGCGACATTATAGTGTTAAGGTTGTAAAAAAATTACAATACCCTTACGTCATTTGATTACGGCTGAAACTAATTCTGGTAATATTACTATTGTATTATTATTTTATAAAATTGTTCATTTTGAATATTTAATTCATATTTATTACTTTATGCTTTGTTACTTCACATGACTTCACATGAAAAATTTCATCGTGGATATTTTCGTAGTATTTAAATATTACTGTTAGCATTTCGTTATTAGCAAAACTGAATTTATTATCCAATATAATTTTTTCATACGAAACTTAGCTTCCAAGGAATTTGAGTTTAAAGATTCGTTGGGTACGCGTGTACTTGACTATTTTTCCACTTAATAGATATAGCTACAAACTGTTGCTTCCGTTCATAATTTTACGCTGATAAATAGTGATAATGTCACATTTCGTTAATAAATGTATTATCAGTATTTTCCATGACATTGGTATCGCTTATTAGCGCAAACATAAAGCCGAGAGATAGTCGAATACTCGTGTGCTCAACGAATCTTTTAATTCAACTGCTTCGAAAACGAAACATTGAATGAAAAAATATTACTGTCTCTTCGGGGTTTTTTTACACGTAGAATTGCCCCCAGCACGGTTGGACCACCAAGCTCGCTCCACCGTGTATAACACTGTCCAACAGCCGCATGGACTTCTAACAATATTAGCCATTTTTCATAGATTTTTAAAGAAAATAATCTGTATGAAATTTAAAATCGATCGGATAAGGGGAAAAGGAGTCCCTGGCCCTTAAACATTTGAGTAATTACTTAAACGCACACAAAGTCGATTTTACTCGATTATCCTCTTCTAAAGTACCTATGTATTGATTATATCAGAAAACAAATCAGGCAAAAGTTGTAGATCTAGACAATGAGCATCTTTTATGTTCTACTTGCGCATTGAATTTTTAAAATATACAAAAACTTTTACAATTTTTTCCAGGATTTTTCTTATTTTTTTTCGAAAACCAGGCATCGCACGAAAAGAGTAGCAGAATGTACAAGATACTCCTTGTCTAGATCTACAAGTTTTGTCTGATATGTTTTCTGATATAATCAATAATCGAATAAAATTGACTTTGCATGCGTTTAAGCAATTATTTAAGTGTTTAAGGGTCCAGGTGCTCCTTTTCCCCTTGTCGCTGGTGTCTGACGTTTGATACTCGACGCTCGTCAGCGCGTTTATTCGAGCTGGCCGAAGTTATTCGAAGCTTTCGAATAAAAGATAAAGATAAAAGATGAACATTTTATTCGCCGCTATGAATAAAACGCTTCGAATGAAAAAAGTATGTTTTATTCGTCAGATAATTCTCATCGATTAAATGATACATAACCATAATGCCATTTTTACAGTAAGTAGGTATTGTTATTACTATTATCCTGGAATTATTTCAGATTTTTCGGTTTGGTGCGCCATAGTTAAAAAATTAAAAACCGATTTTGTCGACGTTATTTTCCGTGAAGATATTTTATACTTTGAATTTTCTGTATTTTCTTCATTAAATGACTTTATTATACCATCGCAAATGTTTATAGATTCAGCAAAACAATATAGGAATTACAGAAAATAATGTTATATTTATTGTACACCAAATTCAAAAGATTATTCCGGAATTAAACGCTATTATTTAGTGCCGTCGGGTGCTGTTCACACGTAAATGCAATAATGTATTAATTATTGCATGCTCGGTATTTTTCAAAAATTTTAGGCCTGCAGAAACTCTCAGTAAGCCTAATTGAATGCCAAACAGGTGACACCAATAATTAACGAAAACAATGACGAAGATTGAAGACATTATACTAGATTTTTACTGCAATTTATCAACAACTGTCAAAAGTACGAGATTTAGAAACCAGTTTGATATATTAATATGACGTAAAAAATGTCGAATCAATAAGCAATAATAATAAATAAAAAGCGCTCCAAAATCATTTGTACAAATATTTCAGGTTAAAATATTTTTTAAATATTCTTAAAACATTTGTAAATATATATTAATCATTGTCACATAGTTAGGAACTGAAAAAATATATATTTAGTAAAGAAAAAAAAATGAGCTCGAGGGGGGCTTGAAACCAACGTTCAAAAAGTTCGCAGCGGTTACGAGTCCGAGACGCTCTATGACTCTACATATACTCTATATCCTATGTACTCGCTACGCTATCGGCGCTGATGAGAAAACGGTCGATAATTTAAAATACAATGCGCACGACATAGTTTCAATTGATTGAGTCTATTTATTTTCTGTAATTTCTATGTTGTTTTGCTGAATGTATAAATATTTACGATTGTATGATAAAATAATTTAATGACGAAAATACACAAAATTCAAAGTATAAGATACCATTTCAAGAGAAAAAATGTCGATGAAATTGATTTAAAATTTTTTTTACTTATGGCGCACCGAACCGAAAAATTTAAGTAATTCCAGGACTATAGTAATAACAATACGTACTTACTGTAAATATGGCATTATAGTTCTCCATTTGCTTCGATACAAAGCTGAAACTTGGCACACATGGCTTCTTTTATAAGCAATCGAATGAGCCATCGGAAGTTGAATTTGGTTTAGGGGCACATTTGACCCCCTTATTCGGCTATAACCTTTCTTTTGAATAAAAAAATTATCTTTCGTGGTCGAATAAATTCACTTCGAAACATTTATTTATCCATGGTGTTTGAATAAAGATAAATCGAGTTATTCGATGTTTCGAATAAAAGTAAATTATTTTTTATTCGGTTTTATCTAGATAAAAGTCCCATTTCTGGAATGATGTGCATTACGTGCAAAAAGCTTAGGTGGGTCGGCTCTGCCAAAGTTCAGCCTAAGACTTCTTTTAATTTATGTTATTAGGAAAAGATTGTAAAATCTAAAATCATTAAAGAGTAGTTTGGGATAGAATTATATGCCGCCCGATTAAATATCTCTATCCCCTCTCCGCTCTGAGTTGACATTTATTTATGTCAATTTAAGTGGAAAACTATTTTGATCGTTTTATTCTAAAATGTTCCCAGTAGAGCTTACATCGCAAATTGGATCGATGGGAAATGAGATTGCAAGTTCTTTAAATCCAATTACTAACGGCAAAAATGAGGCTGAAACGGAGGTATGTGAAAGAAAATAAGGTTACTACAAATTCGAACTTAGCATTAATTAAACGTAATTATGTTAAAGCGAATATACGAAGATTAAACGGTTAATTTGATAACAAATAATTATAAGTAGTACTATACGTTAATTCATTCGATAAAGTAAACGATTTCATCTTGAACTATTTTGTTATTTAGATTTTACCTTTCTATAATAATTTTGCAAATAATTTTTCGTGTTTTTGTCTTAAACCAAAAAGAAATTTATGCGACATACACGTTCAAATTTGTAATTTTTTTTATAGATGTCTAGAATTCTTAAATACCTATTATAATATCTGAAATAAGTACTTATTTCTAAAACAACTTTTCCTTCCTTTATATTTTTAAAATACAAATAACAAAACATTTGAAATATTAATTATTCCTGAATGAAGAATGTACATTTAGCATTACTTTATACATTCTTCAATTGTTAGTAAACTGTGAATGTTTACGCAAATTTAGAATTTCACAGTATAATTAAAAAGGACAGGAATTATGTATAAACTCATTTCATACATAAACCCTTAATTTTCTACTTTGTTAAGAAGAATATTCGGTCATTATATGAACCGTTCACATCAAAAAAAGATTATTATTTTCTGCGAGGGTGAAATAATACAAATTTATATAGCAACGTAATATAATGCTTGAATATTGAAATCGAATTTCAAATGAACAGTACATATACCTAAAAAAGAATATAGAACTGCAACTGCTGCGGTGTCCGAGCGGTTAAGGAGATGGATTTGAAATCCATTGGGTTCTACCCGCGCAGGTTCGAATCCTGTCCGCAGCGATTTAATTTTTTTATCGTAACAAATGTAACTTTCACCAATCCACAATAACCTTACTAACGTATGCATACTACTGTTATAAGATGTACTTTTTTTTTTACATCCATCTCATTTAACATTATTCTAATAATAACGTACATACAATACAAAGAAAATACATTGAATAAATACATTATAGATTCTTCAATTGTTATTGCGTATCATTGTTTTTTCCTTTAGGGTGACAGATTTCAATTAAAAAAAAAAAAAAAGAAGTAGTAATATCTTAAATATATGACATAGATTTGACATCTTTTTTAGTCGCTATTATTTTTTATTTACCCTATTAATTAATGGTTGTATAAGCGTGCTCTCTACTTGCTTGTTAAAATGCGACGCAATAAACACTTATACAGACACAAAATTAATTTTACATATGTTTTATAGTTTTCTCAAGTATAGAAGAAAATGTACCTAAGCGACAGACATTACAAAAAAATATAATCTATTATCTACTCATATTCCAGTAATTATTATTGTCTATATGTAATACGTTTGCCGTTTATTTGTGTCAGAAACATCTTTCTGTAACTGAAGAACATGAAAACAAGACGCAAATCCATACCTACACATGCATATATGTATATATGTATGTAACTTGCATCGATATATCGGAAAATGTATGACGCATCGAGTGATCTGTGGTGGCAAATGGATTATTTCACCACATCGAACATCTGTCAGTGGTTAAATTTGCATTCGGCTGTTTATTTTGTATAATAGTATATATAAATCGATTCAGCAGAAACGACAAAATGTACCATAACATGATATTTGCTTCGATATTTAGGTTATACACTGGTTAGTGTAATGTTGAATTGTCTGAAGTTTAAATCAATAAACTCGTCTAACTATTATGAATCTAATTTGAAACTCATTGATTGCGTTATATTATAAAAGCAACTTCTACGTAAATTAAATTGGCACACGTTCATTTCGGAAAAACTTGAACAAAACGAAAAAAAATCGGAAAAAGTTATATTGTATTATTTAAGCAGCATTCGTGAATCATTATAAGACATTCATTATCTTTCCACGTGGATTTCCAATTAGAAGACACATAAAATAAAAAATTTGACAAGAGTGACGTTCTCTTGTTTATAAAAGTAAGTGCAAAACAGAAACTTGACTGACATATGTATTCACAATTTTCTAGATCTGCGTATAAAAATATATGACTAATTTTTAAAAATGACCGGAAAGACAAATTGTGGAAATAAATAAAAATTACTTACAACAAAGAGTAGATTGAACACGAACATTAAATATTTAACACATTTCGAACCGAGAGACAATTTCATGACGTTAACCATCTTTTATTAGCGAGCAAACAAGATACTATTTACTGATCGTAAAAAAGATACAAAAACGTGACGATGTGTTGAGCTTTTTCGCGCTTTCCGAACGTTAACAGAAAACTCAGAGACCGGCCGAGAACATTGGAGCGACGATTCACTGCTTGCAGACAGTTATCGCGTGGCTGCGTGATCGCGCGCATGCGCGGCACCAAATTCTCCATCAAGGTTACGAAACTTCAAAGATTACCAACTGCAAATTTATTTTCATTTTTTTGTATCACAATTCTTATTCTTCTAAATCTTAATACTTATTTTATTAGAAATTATGAAGCAGAAGTTACATACTCGATAATCTTTAATATTATCATGATAATATAAAACTGTTAATATTAAACGTTGCGCATTTTTTATGTTAGCCATATTATTGATCATGCTTAAAACGAAAATAACAAAGGAAAAAGTTAAACAAGGTATATTTCCGTACATATATGTATTAAATAAAGTCCGTTTGTCCAAAGAAGATACTCGCTGGCAGGCGCGTACTGTAGGGGGGACCCAACGCGCGCTGCGTCGGTATTTCATGCGACGTTGTCAGATTGTGAAACAATAGCGTGTCTCCTGTTCTTAAGCGCAACAGCGTCTCTATCACTGGCTCGATAAAACAAATTCCTTGTTTATCCTATGATTTTTCATGCTTCAGCGTTTAAAACTGCATTGCGTTCCTATTGTAATCATGTAAGACTACCTATTCCAATATTCTATCCGCGGTTCCAATGAACCCTAGAAAGAGATTTTGTCTGAATTTCAAGCCAATCCTTTAAAATAGGATTTCCAGTTTTCAGTCGTACATAGTAAAATCTGCTCTCGATTCGTCATTATTTCAACTCTTATCACTTGGAGTTATGAAACGTGATTGTAATGTTATATTAATTATTTATGTAATTCTATAAGTGAAGTTTGTTCAAACGCCCAAGCAATATCGTACAACAAAAAATACTTAACAGCTTAAGCACATTCAGCGAACCCTTATAAGGACACGATAGTTCTAGAAATTTTTATACTGTATGTGTAATCATTTCGACCAAATGCCTTTTGGTAAGAGGACTGTGATTGACCGTACGGCACTTACCCCAGAATCTCGAAGAGCGTAGTTCTTTTAAACATCAAAGACCTCGGACTAATACTTCTAACATGTACATTATAAATGTTCCTCATATTCCAAGTAACAAATTAGTTTGAGCTACAAACATTATTGTTATTCCACGCACACCACCCAATGTGTATAACTTGGAACACTGTCAACATAGAAAGTGATATCAACTTGAGGTGGTTCAGTCGTCTGGGGATGTTGTATTATTATATTCTAAATGCTCAGGTCGCGTGAGCGTTTAGCACTTACAATTAGAAAGGATGTCAGTAGTGAGAGAACTTCCTAGATTTCGGTTTTTATTAAATATCTCGCAAACTAAACCCAAGCAACGGTAACATACATACATATGTATATAGGCATGAGCGTAGCAACAGCAAATGCCCCCCCCCCCTGGACGGAGAAAAGTGGCTTTGGCCTACCGTAGAAGAAAGGAATTGGATTTTGCTCCCTGCTCCCCTCCCCTTCTCAAAGGAAAAGAAGTAAATTCCCCCCTTCCTGACTGATAACCTGACTACGTTTATGTATACATACAGGGAAAATTTATTTACAATGTTGTCCTCTATAACATATTTCCAAAGCGTTAAAATCGATGATGTCCGTTTTGTAAATAATTATCGGTTTGTGCCTTTACAGTAACGGTTATTCAATTGCTTTTAACACGCAATAATTTCGTGCACTCTCCTGAATAAAATGATGTAAATTGTTATTATATTAAAAACATTTGAATATACTTAAATGATAATCAAAGGGAAAAGGACACCCAAAAGGTACCAACTTTTGCTGATATTTTTCAATTTATTTTAAAAACTAAGAGTCTAGGAAAATAATCTAACTATAGCATGCGATAGAGCAAACCCTTCTGCTACGGAAAGCGTCGCGGGAAACTACAAAATCACGTTCTGTTTTCAATATAGAAGCGAAATAATTTAGCAGAACACGCGACGACGGCAGTGGTACTCAATGACGGCGGTCGCCTTACCTGCTGCTCAGTGTAATCGAATCGCAAAACGCACATGACTATGTATCTTGCTCCAATATTGTATTTGTTATTCGTAAACAGTAGTGAAACCATGAATTGGAGTATAATATCTCCTATCACACAATAATATTTGTCCACATTTTCACAAGCAAAAGAATTATTATATAAACGTCATCAAGCAAAAAGTACATTTAGGTGTGTATATCAACATCAGTGTTTTCACGTTAGTTAAATAACAGTTCATGAGTAATTACATAATATTTTCAAATAAATACATATGTAATTTAAATATAGTATTGAAGCAATAAGAGAACATAGCCGTCCGCGTTTAGGAATTCCGTTACGCTGAACGGTCGGCAAGGAGACGCGCGCCATTATTGAGTAGGTATTATAGGTATATGTATGTATACCACTGCCGCCGCAACGTGCTTTGCTCAACTATTTCGTCTCTATATTGAAAACAGAACATAATTTTGAAGCTTTCGTGGACTCCTTTCTTAGCAGAAGGGTTTGATCTATCGCATAGTATAGTTAAATTTTTTTCTAGATCCTTAGTTTTTGAAATAAATTGTATACTATTAGAAAAATTTGGCGCGTTTTTGGTGTCCTTTTGACTTTGAGCATTATTTAAACATATTCAGATGTTTATGATATAACAAACGAGAGAGTCCACGGAATTATTTCGTATCGAAAACAATTGAATAACTGTTACTATATAAACACAACCCATCGTGAACGTTGAAAATTTTGAATTTTTTTAAAAATCGGTTTTTTCAAAAACTGTGCGTTCTGGAAAAAATGGTTCGCAGATTCGTAATCAGTTTATAAAGGTCTATAAGAAGAGCTTTGCATGTGTTGTTTAATTCGATCAGAAAATACTAATATTAGTATTATTATACAATATTATAACTCGCGCTTTGATTGGTCGGGGTGTTTCGTTAATATCTCGTTAATAAAGCCTCGAATACCATTTGCGCTAAGGAAAAAATTGTTTCAAAACATCCCAGGAACCCCTAATTTCCGTGAGTCGAAGCTATTTTGGGACACCCTGTATACAGGATATATGTATGAATATCTTCCAAACCGTTAATGATACTATACATATGATAATAGTATATGCATATTTATGGGAATGTGTAAAATACAGTATAATGAAATGCGTTTTGTATTTTGATCTTGATAAAATCCACAACAGGTATGGATTTGAATGTACAGACAGCCACTGTTTGTTTCTTTTACTTTTCAATATGATTTGCGTTCATGTTTGTATAGCTCTCATACAATAATTATACAGAAATAAAGTAATAATCGAGTAGTAAGAACTAGATTAGTAGATATTTTTGTAAATTGAAATCTTTATGAAATATTTATATTTATAAATACATAGGTATTTATTAAACTATATGCAAACAAATATTTATTTCATTACATTCTGCACATTCCCATAAACGTATGAAATTGACAGTTTATAGTAATAATGTATACAACAAAAAAATATTCATTTCATTTACATAATTTTTGTAATAATTAATGGTTTACGGGTAACATAAACAATAAAAATAAAATAATTTTGAATCGTTAACAGATATAAGACAAGCGATGTGTTGAACTGGAACAGGTGACGTGCAGTGCATCGTCCCTATTACAACGTAGAGAATCAATGTTAACAGATCATATAAGGACAAACCTAAATATAGAACAGTATACCATACCTACGAAAACATTTCTTTTCAGCGTTCGATTTCAGAATTAAAGTAAAGCGGTTTTAAAAGACTTCCTCGTTTTCTTGTCGAAAAATTCAGATTGCAATGGAATATTTATACGAAAAAAATGAAGTAGTATATAATTAGTTTTCAATGTATTTCAAATTATAAAAGTATAAAGGTGAAACTTTTAATAAATCGAAATTCTACTGATCATTTCATTGACTATATATTTTTATAGTATAAATATAATATGTTGATTATGAATATTATAGATGTACCATGGAAATTGCAATAATTTTAAAGAATTAGAGCTCGTTTCCCTTCACATTGACATAATATCTACTTTTACAATATATTACAGATTTCAATGCACAATAAAAGTTTATATAATAATGATGAAGCGACTGTTGGTTAAATTACATTATTGTTTACCATGATGCAACGCCAACATAGAGAAATACTATCCGAAAAAGCATTCTGTCTTGTTAAAGAATTCTTATTACATATTTTATTTACATTTCGAAAGAATATACTAAATATGCCCGATACACAGTCTCAAACTTCTTTTTAGTTCAAAAACTTTATTTACACATGCAATGCATCTCATTCAAAATCACTTCGTTTTTAAACCTTTTCAATATAGTTCTGCAATTACATTTTATTTATTTTGTGCTTCCAGAAAATAAGAAAAATATTTGATTGTTTCAATTGTGTAAAATCGGAGAATATTTTTAATAGAACAACGAGAATGTAGTAAGCTTATGTTTATTCTAATAGTGTAGACTAAATATTGCCTTTATTAAAACAAATTATAAATTATCTGTCATACAAAATAATAACATTTTAACTTATTCGTATTGTACGATTTATAAGAATTATCATTTTTTAAAATAGTTGCTAAAATGTGATTGCAAATAAAGGAAATTGTTTTTATTGATTTGATATTTTCTATTACTATTCCTTTCTTCCTAACTTCCTTTTCTATTACTGATTGTTCATTACAAAAATACGTAATTCTGGAATCCTTATATCAAAGAAGTAAAATCGTAAACTGATAATGTAAAATTAAGCATATATGAAATTAGTTTCCAAAATATTTGTCTTTGAAAGTCAACTACAAAGTTTATTTTAGTTATTTAAATATAAAATAAATGTCCATTCGGATATGCATTTTACACACAGAAATACCCTCACGAGCAAACTCGGCTTCCGCTATGGGAATAAACGACGTAGAGGAAGGGCCTCCTACAACTTGGTCTCGGGAGTTATTAGAATTTATGCCAAATTAACATTCAGTTTAACATTCATTTCAATACTTGAAATAAATTTACCAAGTGGTCGGAGGCCCTTCACCTACGCCACTTTCTCCCTTAGTGGTAGCCGAGTTTGCTCATGGGTGTATATAGAAGGGTCTATGATTTTTTTCTCCCTTGCATATAATTTGCTTTACTCGAGAACAATTAAACGTCAATATATCAGACATACCTCACAGATTGTATTATAAACTACAATATTAGGGTATTAAAAAAATTGTTCTTAGACGAATCATCCGCAATCCGACATTTATGGTATACATTATATACACTAGCAAAACAAAGTAAAAAAAAAGCTTTAATGATATTTCACTGAGCCTTCGATTTATTTTTTTTGTAAAATAGTAAAATTCTTGACAAAACAATACATTGCACATATTTCTAGTTTTATTCCTGTAATGTATAAGTTAGTGAGAATAAACGTACAGCGAGTAAAATACATTTTAAGAGAACTGAAAAATAATTTGATAAATTCTAGATTATACTAAAAATTTTATATTTTTTTACCCTTTTACCGTTTTTATTCACGCACGTATCTGTTTTATTCATATGTTTTAATCACATGTACAGGGTATAAGTATTGATTAAATTGAGGAAATATTAATCCAGTAAATACATTTTTTGACCATTGTACAATAAATGTGTCTAAACATTCTAATCAAGAATATAAAAAATGCTCTATACAGTATAAAAAAATGTGAAACCCCATGGTTCCATGATACATATGTTCGGTTCTGCGTAAAGTACGGGAAAGGTGCGCACGCAGTCAAGTCAGCCTGGGAGGACCGATGAAAATACGACTATTCCTTAGCAAGCCCTCCAAGCGTAAGAAGCTTCTTCGATCATTGAAACGACGCGTACAATTATCGTTTAACTCCTCCTTTTTCGATACGATACCTTTTGTATTCTATTTCGACTTTTTTGAAAGTAGTGAACAGTGAGTGGAAAAATGGTGTCCGGTAAAATGACTTGCGTCAAATACCTGACGTTTCTCTTCAACTTGATATTCGCAGTAAGTACTCCATGTTGTGTTCGCGCCTTCCGCAATCTTAATTTTATATGGTATTGCTTTCCATTCGTTGCTGTACATATTCGAGTAACTAGAAATAAAAAAAATGTTCAAAAAATACGACTGAATGTAGCCATTACAGGGTACGTCAAACATTATACCAGTTTATTTATTCGAATTAAAATTTTGTTCGGTACATTAATAAAATTGTAAATTTGTTTCTTAATTACAAACATTTTTGTAAAAATCATGTTTACAAAGAAATTGCACGTTTTATGCTACTTTTTGAATTAAAAAGTCTCACATGTAATTTTGTGTTTAATTCCCTTTGACCATGTTGACGAAAATAATTAAACCAAACTTGGCATAGGTAGGAGTAATATAGTCAATTTTATATTGAGTCTATGTCCTTTTTAATCGAAATAAAATATATATCGTCACTTTTCGTTTCGCTGTCAGTCAATCGTTAAATTAGAATTGTTAAGGTAAACAATCGCTATTTTCATTGATATGTATTAGATTACATATGCATATCGTACGTGCGGATTACGAAAGCAGCGTAGACTGCGTGGGTAGTGCTTCATGTGTATGTCATACTTTACATGTGTAATACGTATATACGTCAATTCGTGTCTCTCTATTCACAATCCGTGAATTACACCTTCATATTCATCTGTATTTTATAATCAAATTCTTCCTTTGTGTTTCTGGATGGGTAGAAAAAATTGAATATCGTACGTCGCTCTTTCTTGTTTACATATATTATTGTACAATTTAATTACTATTTAGAATAGAAATAATTTCAAATATTTATTTTGTCAGTTTTTAGAAAGTATTGTAAATAAATTAGTAACGAGTATGTATTAAAAATTTGTCTTAATGTTCCTGTTTATCGAAGTATGTTATTCACAGACTGGGTATTTATGTAAAATCACATTGTTACGAATTAATTTACCAAAGCGAATATTAAACAGAATACTTTTCGGCGTATTAAAAATTGTATTAGATTAAAAATAATATAAAAGCTTTTAAGTTGTTTTATTTTATTTTTAGAAAATCAACAAAAATGGACATACCATATATGTTTCCCCTGTGACCGTCACATATTTTTCTTAAATAATGTGATTTTATAAGAAATAAAGTATTTACTTAACTATAAATGTGTTACTGTATTTGTGTCATTAGATTAGATGTATCAATAAGTAATGCACTATTTTTTATCTCTTGGGAAATGAAGATCGTACTTTGTTGTAGGATCATTTGTTGAGTGTTCTCTGACGAGTCGTATCATTTTTATGAATCAGAATATTAAAAAAATATTGTAAATTTAAGCTAGTATACATTTTATTATAGAAAGTGGTTAATTACTTGTTGGTAGATTTAATAATAACAGAAGATTATTAAGTATTAAATGTTATTCTCATTTACTGTAAGTGTTTTTTATATAAATTATAATTTATAAAAAAAGCTATCAAATTTCTTTTTGTTTGCAGATAACAGGAATTATATTCGTTACAGTTGGCACTGTAATCCTTATAGTTTACAGTGGTTATAATAATTTTATGGACAGTTGGTTCTTCGCAGCACCAGTGTTAATGATCGTAGTAGGTGCTGTAGTGTTTATTGTATCATTCTTCGGCTGCTGTGGGGCAGTAAAAGAGAACCATTGCATGATAATAACAGTAAGAATCACTTTACAATTATAGGGCAATGCATATATTGATTTTATTTAAATGTAGTATACCCCAACTTGGGCATTATGAGAAAAGAAATACTTTAAAAAAAAAGAATGATTTACTTGAAACATTAACTTATATAATTGCAAATAATTTTCAAATTATTTCATAAAACAAATAGTTTATTTTTGATTTTATTTTTTACTTAGCTAATAATAAAATATGTTTTATTTTACTTTCTAGTTGAATAAGTATGCTTTACAATACTTCTTTAAATATTTTAAAATGCCTAAAAAAATTGCTTCCAAGATATTTTAAAATAATCCTTGTTTTAATCTAAAATAAAAATAATGCTTCCAATTTAATTTTGAAATACAAGTACTAAGTAGCTGTAAGTTGTTCTTTTAACCTGACAGCACACAGGTGGACTTGTGAAACACAAATACCCACATGGGGTACTCACAGCCCCCTATCTAAAAAGTAACATTTATTGTCCATAATATATGAATATCTATATGTTTTGTTTTTTTTTATTAAAATAACATATATACAGACCTATAGGACAGACATTAACATTACCTCATAGAATACAAGAAAAAATATAAATAGTTAAACAACTTAAAATCTAATAATTGAACCAGTCATCCATTTCTTCTGCTGGATCATACACAAAACATGTTTCGCACATATTGTTTCGCAATATATAATTCAGTTTTTACCCCTGCCAATTAACTAACAATATTTTGCCTGGATCTTCTGATCCTCCTGTTGATTGGTTCTTTTCACTATTTGGTGACTATATCCTTCCCTGTATAATAACTGGCAGAATCAGCCTCGAGAGTCTTCATTATTGGATACTGAAAAATCAAATGTAGCTGATGTACTATCGTTGTCCAAAACTTCAAAAAACTCTGAATTTGAAATTTCATGTCTAATAATTTCATCTGTGGACTGATCCTGAAGAATTTTTCTAATCTGTTCTCTCATACAATTATTCATTTTCTTCAGACAATACGTAACAGCCTAATAGAACACAATTTTCATAATGCTCATAGAAAAAAAATAAAATAAACAACACACACACACACACACACACATACACACACACAATCTAATATGAAAGAAATTCTTACAAAAGTATGAGGAAAATACAATGAGGATTAATATATAAAACACAAACAACTGACAACACTGTGCAGACACACGGAAATTCGATATAGCTGTGGAGAAACCTCAATCGAAATTGAATGCTAACAATGTATTAAGAAGTTATACTGAGTGGTAAAACGATAGCTAAAGAAATACAAGATGGGGGTTGCACTAGACTCCCATGTGTGTGCTGCTGGGTTAATTATATTTAACAAACTTACATTGAAGAACTTTTATTCAATACAAATTTATGAAACTTTTAATGTTTCAATATAATATGTTGATTAAATATAACTTTAAAGAATACATAACATTTAATATTTTTGCTATATAGTTTTCAGTATTACTTCTTCTAATCTTTGCATTGGAACTTGGTGCTGGTATCTCTGGATATATGATGCGAGGTGAAGTTCGGCAAATGTTAGAAAATAGAATGACTAGCACTGTGGAGCAATATTCGAGCGATGCAAATGTCCGTAGGTCTTGGGATATTATGCAACATGATGTAAGCATACATTTTACACTTTTCTTTTTTGTAGAAACAAATTTTCTATCAACTTAATCAGTGGTTCATAAGTTATATGTATGTGGGAATAATGTTTCTATAAATTAACAAAACATACATATGGATTAATATAGTGCACAAATACCACTGAAGAGCTAATTAACGATTACTATTTAATTGAATATATAATACATGTATGTAATAAAAAAAACTACTATTAAATTACAGTTGCAATGTTGTGGAATGGTTGGTCCAAATGATTGGGTTCATGTAGGCTTCTCAGATAATACTGTACCCAATTCCTGTTGTAAAGAAGTACCAAAAGGAAGTAAATGCGACTTAAACTCAATTCATATCTATGAAGAGGGATGTATGAACAGTCTTCAAGGTGCTATTGAGCGTAATGCATTGATTTTGGGTGGTGTAGGCATTGGCATTGCTATTATTCAGGTAATTCATACTTGTATACTTTTTGTTTATTGTTAGATCTGAATTTCCTCTGGTTCATATAATTGTTCTTTTTAATTGGTAGCAACTCGTGTAAAATATACGAAGTAACTTCTTGATTAAGTATTTTTTTATATAATTATGTATTATTTACATAATATACTCTTTCTAATGTTTTACAAAAACATTTGTTAATTTCGTGAAAGAAAATTGATTATGCTGTTATAACCAGAGTAAAGATATTTTTTTCAAGAAAGATTTTACATCATTAGCAATCTTTCCCTGTATAAAGTAACAAAGGAAAAAATAATGAGATGTCTGAACATTAACCCTTTGCGCTCCATGCAGTTTTTGTGCCGGTAAGTAGTCTACTCCAGGGATTTTTAGATGATATTTTGTAAATTACAATACTTTACAGAAAATGGACCAGTTTTTCGACTAATCATTTTCTATTAAAGCGCTTGATAGTTTCAGTAGATCGTCATTACTTGCTGTGCCAGCTACACTGGAAGTTGGGGCGCAAAGGGATAGAATGAACTCTATTTACTATGTTACTGTCATTAAAATAGACTTTCATTGAAAGTACAATCGAAAAGGAGATGATTCTATTTGTAGAAACAAATAGAAAGCGTAGAATAAAAATTTTATCTACACTTGAATAATTAATTGAACTTCAAATAAATTGTTTTTAAAATTTGATATTAAATTGGAAAGAAAAATAATATTATATTTAATGAAGACATTATTAAAAGCCTTATCTAAACCTAAACAACATGATAAAATTTTCTGATTTCAGTTAATTGGAGTAATCTTTGCATGTTGTCTGGCACGTTCGATTCGCCGCGAGTACGAGACTGTGTAAGCAGACAGTTACCTACAATTTTAATGCCTAAAAATTGCACTCAAATTCAAAAATGTACTCTCTGTCTTTCGCTGTTACACATTCATATATCAATTTCCTTATCTTCTTCTTTAAGTAACAGAATATTGCACAAACTGCACATTGTATACTTTATTTAGCATACTGCACAAAAATGGTACGATATAAAAATCTACACCTCTATAAAACTATCAACAGATGAGTGATAAAATTATTTTTTATCTTATGATACTCGTATAAATATATGCTTTCTCTTTTATCTGTACTTTTACTATTAGTACTTTCGATATTGTTATTGTTAGTTCTAGGAGCAACAGTAAAGAAACTGTAGTATTAATATTACACATTTTGGATTTTATTTGAATACTTTCTAATTTGGTATTAAAAATTTAGTATAACAACACACAGTATTTTTGTGCAGTATGATGTCTTTATGACTGTTTCTTTAAGACTGATCACTTTTATACTATATTAATGGAAACAGATTTTGTACTTTGTTAATCAACTGCACGCGGAGATACAAGAATTATAAAGCGAAAGTAATACATTTATGTTAAGATTTCACTGTTATATACAAAAACATTAACACCTACTTCATTATAACTACGTTTTATCGTAGCTTCGTTTTGTGAAAAATGATCTTTAATGTCAACGTATGTTATTTCATTCACATTTTATTTCAGTTCAAACAAAGAATAATTGTAATTGTTAAAAGTATTATGCTTTCAATATTTAATATTTTAGCTTTCTTTATTGAGCTTAGCTTACAAGCTTCTTTGCAATTTTTTTAAAAATGATCGAGTGTTATGTTTTTCAGATTTTGTATGGTATTTTTTTATACTACTGTTTTATAAATTACACATACAATTAGAAAAAAGTACCATACAAAGATTACAATGAAATGAAGATTTAAACGTAAATAAACATAATATATTTGTAGGGCATTATGGTATAATCATCAGATAAATTAAAAGTATTTGGAATAAAATAGTTGTAATATATTTGTACTTTGTCTGTAATATTTTTCAATCCATTTAGAATATTATTAATATTTTTAAAATGATGCTTATATACCATTATGCCTTTAATTCAGGTAATGAATTTTGTTTGAAAAATGTAGACAAATAATCAACGCATAAAGATACTTTGAGAAGTCTCTATTTATCTAAGAAATAAGAAAGCGTTCTATTGTTCATACAAATTTTACATAGTGTTGATACAATAAATTATTATTAAATTTGTAAATTTCATAACATGACTACAAGATTGCACGATTTTATGTTGGAAAATTTTCAAAGTCAGTTCTGTATTCTACATACCCATGTGGAACAATGTGTCTTTTGCACTGTGCAAGTTCAACATAATTATTAAATAATTGTGTTCGATTAACAATAATTCTGTTTAATTCTTTGAAAACTTAACTTTTATATCTACGTTTTCCTTAATTTGGACAGTGATCTAAAAGTGAATATTGAATGAAACAATCATATTTTGACTCGATTTACAAAATTTTGCTGTCAAAATTAAAATATAGAATATCATAAGTGGATGTATACACAGTTACATATTTACAAAATTGAGCATACACTTACATAAGCAGTAGAAATTATCGAGAGAATGAATACAAATATACATATTTGGAAGTAAAAACACAATACATATTATATTCGTATACTTTAATGAACAATTAGTAAAAAGATTAAAAAATAAAGTGAAATATGTGTTTATATTTAAGTGGAAATATAAAAGTACCAGTATTTTACGTACACAAAATTGAGCGTACATGTCGATATTTACAGGATTATAATATATGATTTAATATATTATATCCTAATGTGCTGATTATTGTAGTGATATTTGATCATAATTTCAAACATACTTTCGAGTGCTATGAAAAAACGTAATCACCCCTTCGTTCCACAACTTCTTACCACTTTCTTCGTAAAAACATTATGCCGTCACTATAAAACTTCGGTTCTTTTTATTAAAATATATTTCAATGCTGCTTTTTATAGAGTCGATACTGTTACATTTTTTGCGTATTAAGAAATGCTGTAACACACGAAATAGGTTGTAGTCTGATGGGGCCTTGTCTGAAGAGTGGCGGGTGTGGTGAAATTCCTCAATCAAAAGCGTATAGCAGGATAAGGTATTCAAGTGCTCTTAGACTGATTTGAACTTGTGATGTACCATTCGATAACTTGTCAAGAAAAAACAGTTTGTGCCAAGTCTCAACCCTGTATCTCGACCAGGATGGTAGTAATAAGGACAATTTGGATTTTCCGTTTTTCCTCTATTTTTTCTGCTTAATGACGTGCAAAAATTCTGTAAAAACTCTGATAGATAGTATAAAACGCTAAAAAAGGTTTTTCTCTTATTGAAGTTTCAAAGGCACCACATTTATCATTTCACAGTAGCGACATATTATCATAAGTAGTGTCCTTAATTTTTTGAAGATCTTTTTAGTAGAGTGCGCCGCGGTTTTAAAAATCAAAAACCGATTGTTTTGAACGTTTTTTCCGTGAAAAAGTAACCTATACTTTGAATATTTATATTTCCTTTATTAAGTAAGTATATTATACGGTTTCAAGTATTTCCATACGCAGTAAAACAGTATATAAATTATTGTAGAAATCGAATTAGCTTAATTGAAACCGCGCTGTATATAAATGGTCTAGCATTACTGTGATGAATGATCGCTTTCTTCTAATTGCAAGTGTCCAGGACGTTTTACTGCTATTGCATCCGAGTACAATACACGTCGAAATTAATGTTTTCACTTTTTGGGACTAACTCGAAATACAAAATTCTTTAATAATTTCACCAAATATACGGAATAATTTTGCGAGGGTGTACAGCTGCTTTTGCACATTAGCTGCGTTCAGCGGACTCAATCGTTGCGAATCCATCACTGATCAGTCCTTCTATTTTCTTGAACAATATTTGGGGTTGGGGTAGTGTGAGTGTGATACATTTGTAGCAGCTTGTGGCACTAAATTTAAACAGTTGTTACAACATACGTGAACAATATTGTCTTCTAACAAAATAATAATAAAATATAAAAAAATGAATGCAGCTTTGCTAATTGCTCGGATGGGTTGGATGTAGATGTAATGAAAATATTATTGGACGATTTAGGGCAACCTATAAATCATTTAACAACAAAGCGCAGAATTACATCAAAAAATGAAAACTGTGCTGAAAGTATAATTCCGTTATACACTAATAATTTCTTTAAAGAACATTTTCGGATGTTACTCATAAGTATTGAAGTATAAATTTCTTTATACAGTGATAGCTTCAAAGTGCATACAATGAATAAAATACATGTATAAATTATATGTATTATTGGACATTTCATTGTAAAAGAAGATTAAATAAAGAACAGAAATTTGTGAATCATAGATACTAATAAACAGATGTAGAAAATACAGTATCTTGTTTTGTACGTAAAATGCCGTTGCGGCTGTATTGAGTCTCGTATATGCGTTATGTTGTTTACATTTAAAGGTTCACTAGGTTTCGCCATATTGAATCACAACACGTTGAGCAGAGGTAGCATAGTTTATTTCCGTTACAAAACATGGTGACCGATCACTAAATATGTTGAGAAATTAGTAAGTGAGCGGGCTACGCTTTAGCGTAAAATCTAGTGAAATCACTCAACAGTTGAGTCCGTTGAACACAGCCATTGTTGTGGTGGATCTTCTTTTTTTGGTCCAGTATCGTTTCCTTTGGGGGTTGTCATATGGAATTTACCTTTCGTCCTCGGCCACCAAATGATTTAACAGTTGTTCTTCTACGTCATACTTACAGCTTCGGTACAATTTCCATTTTCTTTAAATGTCTATGGCAGAGTTCGGCAGAATTTTATTCGAATAATACACAGTGAAAAACAGTAGTATTAAAGGTGTCGTCCTGAGCTTTAAACAGTTAATGAGATTAAATAATTGTTTGAGAAATGTTGATTCATTTCACGTTGAAATATTTGTTTCTTTCCTTTTGTTAGCCATTACGCTGCTAATGCTCAATTGCCAAAATATGTATAAATACGTATGCGAATACAATATGTGTCATATTTTTACTCTCGAATATGTATTTAGGGATGTTTCTATTCATTCTCCCGAGAATTTCTACTGCTTACGTAAGCGTACGCTCAATTTCATGAGTAACTGTGGCAACATGTTCAGTTACTATAATATTTTTCAAAGATTTTCGTCGTTTAAACGTCGTTAACAAACTATAAACGGTATGATTTAATACAATTTGATTAGTTAAAAATTTGTGAGAATTTATAAAATGTGATCATATACTTTACTAATTACATTTAATTTTAAATTCAGTAAAAAATTGCTCAGTTGAAATATACATATAGATTGTAGAACATGTTTTGTGTAACTTTAATATCCAAAGCGTTCTATTTGAATTTACCAATTATATAGTGGAATCTGTAATAAGTATAAATCTTTGATTTAAATGTATGAGCAGTTATACATACATATACATCTTTTCATATCACATTATGGAAAAGTAAAAAAAATATAAAGTTTTTTATGTTAATTAAAGAATCTGAATATTTAAAGTAACATAGTGACATGAAACATGCTGTACATCATATCTGTATTTCTAACAAGGGAAGGTTCCGAACCCGAAAATTCTGATTTTAATGAATATAGAGCATATTGAACACTATGCTTGGAGCAATTTTTTTTTCGGTCCCGTTTTTACTTTGAAGGAGTGAAATCGGCCCTTAAAGTTTTCGCGTTTTTTCGTTTTCTTGATATAACTTTGAAGAAGAATTTTCTACGATGTGTTATTTATAAAGAAAATAATTTTTTTGTTAATTTACATATAAATTATTAACCGTAAGGGACAGAGGTAGTCATTGCATGTAAAAAATGTGTATTTATCAATGGTTTATTGAATTATGAAAGCATATAATTTTTATAAATTTTTTTATTTGCAAAACCAGTTTTCCACTTCTGTATTCATATGCTTATGCATATATGTGATATCTTGTGTCATTCATATTTTGTAACTTACCGAAAGTTTTACATGTGGGGTTCTATTAATCGACTTATAAAGTAATTACAAACGTGCTAATGGAAAATTAAGTAAAGATATTTTAATACACACTCCCATTAGTGTCAAATCAGGACAACAAAGAACG